CTGAACTGAACAAAACGGAGGCATGAGTTCATCAAGCGTGATTTCACTTCCGCGTCAGCCACCCGTGTCATACACCCGCACTGAGGTCGGCCAAGGGACAGCTTGCTTGAAACCCCAGACATGCGATGGGGGTTGTTTTAACTCATAATTGTTCCTTCCCGAGGCAACAACAATGCACTGAGCCTTCGTATGTTAACTTAATAAAAAGCATAAATAAAATCAAATAATTACATGTATAATTGCCTTGATTTTTCATTTTTCTAAAATGATTATGCAAAGGCTTACATTACATGCACAATTGTGTTCCGCGAAACTTGACGAAGATCTGTCAATCTCGTTAATTTGCACTTTACTCGTATGGATCAATGAGGCTTCAGACAGAGGCTATTCACAACCTTCGCTGCTTTAGCCGGTATTTCTGGCCGTCAATGCATGTGAGGTTATCTTTTCTCTTCGATCTTAGGTCATGCTATATTCAGCTGCTACGTCACCAGTTCCGAATACACCCCTCGGAACTCGCGCGAACACCGCTACAATCCTAAACTTGTGGCTAGGAAATCTCTGCACTGCGCTCAGTTATTAGCACTCAAAATAGGCCAAGCAACTCATAGACTTATTCCAGACCATTCTAGTATTTTAAACTGAAATTTACGCTAGAATGTGCGGCTAATTGAAATGAAGAACGTGTTGACGTGAGGGAGGGGACTATCGACCAACCGGAGGCTTGGCAACTGCCCTGCCTTGCGCCACTTCCGCTTTGATGACGTCAATGCAGGCTCGTGTCGCCTGCGTCTAACGGCGCTGCATGCGATCCTCAAACTCAATCTACATCGAGAGAAATTGTAGCGAACAATTTTACCTTGGCACATTATATTTGATTTCATGGAGAATAACGATTTCAGCTTGAGTCATGTTAGACTGCGTCTTGTTGACTTTTTCTGTCTTAGACTGCGCATGAATTAATTTTAAGGCAGCGATGACAAGAGATTACAGGAAGTCAATCCTGGTTAGTTTTGATGAGACACGCCGTTTTGAGCGCAAGTACTTTCATTGTAATCTTCCGCGACAAAATATCAAGTATGTCCTTAAGATTTGTAAATTGATTAATCCAACATATTTTCAGTAACGAGGAAAAATCCGTAAACATTCCATGCCTCAACGCGAAAATTACAGTTCATTTGTTTAGCAGAAAATCCATCAAATTTGCGTAGTGCAGAATTCACCGTAAAATTCATATAATTGCTCGTTTCTTTACAAGTAAGTTGCGTCGGAATAACAACGATCATCTCGCATGTCCACTGGAAGGTCGAACCCGAGTGACAGTGTAGAGTTGAACCTAACCTCGTGTTTACGTCGAGGCGAAGGAGATGACACGCTCAACAGGAGGATGTTCGAAGTGATTGAATTGCCAATTTTCTCGCTACTGTGGATTGTTCTCTGTACAATATAAAGCTTTCGTCAATACGCGTTATATTGTATTAATTTTGCCTCAGGATTGCGAATGCACCTAAAAAGATTGGAATTGTCCACAATGCAAAGGCAATAGTTAATTTAACAGATGTTGATATAAAAAGAACTCCACAAATTCACAGGAATTGTAACAAGTCAACCGGTTTTCTCAGTAAAGAAAACGCATGCAGTTTTCTACGAAGCGTTAACTCAACAAGCAGGTTAGGCAATTTCCGCAACTGAGATGCACTTCCTTTCCTCCAATCCTGTAGCTTCCTTCCCGCACATGCCAGCTAGGCATGAGGTCCACCGAGCTCTCCACGCCACAATCAACGTACGTATATGTAGGACGTGAACTACAGGGGCCGTACCATCAAAACTAGCTTTAATACAGGCAGCGGCCTAAATGCACCTAACGGTCAATTTTTCGTCTATGACTGGAGGGTTTAGCTTGACATGCTGTCAGTGGTTGGCTGACAAAATTGCTAATTTGTTACTATTTATTATATCACGGTTCCTCTGGTTGATCTCCTTAGGCAAAGTGGGTGCTATCATTTCCTTGATATCGATTCATCATATTCTGGTACTCGTGTTTCACAAGCGGCGTGCGTTAATTCGGTAATACAAGTTTTCATCTATAATGGCCTTCTTTCACTATTACTGATTGTAATCGTGAACGACTCATATTGAACAGCTTACATTTTTTCTTCGACAAAATAAATTGTTTGATTGTCGATGTTGTTAGTAAATTATAACGCACCTGCAAAACACAATTTTGCTCAATAATTTGTTTGACAAAGTCCAATTTTTGTTGAACCTAACTCAATATTTTTCATATTTACTGCAAGTAACTATGTGCCCGATGTATAAAAATTTTTTTATTAAAGACACACCATCTCAAACCGCCTTCCGTCACCATGCATCACTGCATAATTGAAGACGACTCGTCCTCGACCTGCTCGGGTTAATGACCCATTGGTGAATATGTGACCCAAGCAAGGCCGTGGACCTCAATTACCCTAAGTGACTGCCAGGAAACACGTTCCAGGAAGTGTCACTGTTATTTTTGGAAGTCGCAGGAGTGTTCCGTTGCTCGCTCCTCGTGTCGACTGCGTGCCTATTGCCGTATCCTAGATATATCGATTATACGTTGTCGGCAAGGACTCATAATGTAGGCAAGGACACTGTCGCGTCCTATGTGCTATAAATTATTTATTATTTAGGCGTAGTTACAGTTGCGTCCTTCAGACGTGCATTATTCCATTGCATTTGAATGTATGGAGGAACACAGCCAAGTAATAGTCTAATGAATTAGCAGTCAGAAATACATCTGCAGCAGGTTCCAAACAGAAACTTTAATCGAATCGAAAATGGTCTGTATAGCTATAAGATGATTAGGTCTAACTTATTTAGAATTTATTATGGTTTAACGGTTTAAAAATTTGTACTTACAACTGACTTTCTTTATTATATACGTTACGTTGATTTGTAATTTTTATATCCTTTCAGTTTGCAGGGGTTACGTTAAAATCGGCATCTGATGATAAAAAATGTACCCCTGTGAACTGATGCGCTATTTTATCCAAATATCTTTACTTATGTACTTCGCTATCAAGAAACCATTCAAGCCAATGTTTCCTGACGGTAACCCCTGTTACCAGGCCTTCAGGTACGAATAACGCTGAACTCGGTTGATAAAAGGTTGATTTAAGATACAATATCTTTTGCATCGGTGAGGAATAGTCGAATGTGGAGCGCATCGAAAAGTTCATTATTTTGCAGCTCAATCATGATAAATGGTTAAAAATCATGATCATTCTAACTTCACTCAATTTTCATAAATGAAATAGAGTAAAAATGCAAATATAAACTTGGAACACTAGTGGGATGTCGGCCTCACTCATGCAACACATCTTCTTTAATGAAACTTTAACATCCATCCCCGGAGTTAAGGATAATTTCTTAGTGAATTCAAAAACAAATTTCTTCGATGCATAGAAATAACGATAGTATAAGCTTACTGACAATTCCTGGTAAATGTAAAAGTGTTTCGGTTGCATAGAAACGAGCTGTAAAGCTTTAGTTCCGGTGCGATCAAGGTAAGGAAGCAGATCGGTTTTTGGAAGACTGCGGCGGTGGCACGTTCCGCTTCCTCAAATGACGTCATCGCCATCGATTGGTGACGCAGCTGGAGCGTCACTTGGGGGTGGCGGAGGTGGGAAGGTGAGTTGAAACGGGAGGCAGTGAAGGGGGGTGGCAAAACCCAACATAATATGGGCATTCTAGGTTATATTCCAACTATTTTAGGATATAGTTGTAGAAACCAATATTGAAACTTACAACGAAAAATTAAGCCATATGTTTTGTGAACTTATTTTCTGAAATTCCCAATATAACGTCGAGATTACACTCGAAACAAATTTCACGTTTGGCAGCTATCAATAGTATCTGCTAGTAGGTAATTCTATAATTACTATTGCAGTCATTACTATTGCAGTAAAGTTTGCATTTTAATTATATACTTATGTTGTATTCTCAAGTAACGCTTTTCACCTGCTACTGCAAAAAATTAGCAATTCGATACGCTTTTAATTATTTGATTACGTTTGATTGTAAAACGAGAATGAAAAGAACATAACTCAGTATTTTTATATTTTATAGAAAGGCAACACGAAGTCATTTCTACGATTACTACATAGTCACTAGCATACTTTTAAACTGCCATGGAGACGATAACTTCTTCCGCAGAGTGCGATGACACGTTCACCAAACATGTATGTGTACTCAACAATATAGTTCACTCGCTTTAATTTTCACATAAATGTAATTAACGCACGACTGGTTCAGCTCCGTTTTTTCTGCTCGCTGTGGCATAAGTTCTGAGATTTAAAGCTTTTTTAAGCTCATGGAAAGCATTCTATCGTGACGTCATCTCATAACTGCGTATTTGCAAATCTCTAAAAACGGTCAAACGAAAAAACAAAAAAACTTTCATTGGGGAACATGGTTGTTAAACTTGTACCCAAGGGCCGGAAGCACATTAGTTTCGTGTATATATATATCTATGTGCTTCGTAACCACTCAAAACGAATAGCGGGTCAGAAATTTATATCAATGTCTTTTTTTATCATATCAAATTGATGAAGCGTACAATCGAAAGATGATTGAACTCTAGTTTCAATTTCATTCGTACTGAATGGATGTCATTTGATTCAGACGAGAAATTCCACTGGGAGGAAGACAAGCCTGCAATTATGTGGGAAGAAACACTAAACTTTTCATCTTGAAGTATCTGGCAACTGCGGTATTCAGTGAATGAATAACAGAGACCGATAATCAAGTTACAGAAATATCATTGTCTTCCCATTCAACACAGTTTTTATTGAACAATTGAAAATCAGTGATATGTTATCATTAATTCCCTTTGTTTGGCCAAAAATAATCGCAAAATATTGCATAAAGTGCGTTTTGTACACAGAGCTACTATGTAACGTGAACGGAGTAGGATTAGAAGCTGCTGGGCTGGATGAGGCTGCCAGACTTCAGTTGGTAGTTGTCGAGTACGGCATTTGGAGCTCAGTGATTACAGTGCCCTCATAGCTACAGGACGTGCGTGAACATAGCTCCTGAAGGTGTGTTTTGTCGGCATCTGTTGCTCTCGGAAGAGAGAATGATTTTACCAAATTAGTCAAGTGTCTCAAATTAAATCTTTTGTTGTACAAGTATGCATTTGTAAAAAGTTTTTATTTTATAATATATATTACAATTTTTCGCTATTTCTATTTGATGTTTGGGTATCAACTTGAGAGTTTGTCCGAAGGAACTTAACACTTAAACCCGAATGCGTTACATTGTTAATTTGCGTTTTGGGATACGAATAACCAAACTATACGTGCATGATTTCCTTTGGTGCTGTGAGCAACTATGCGGAGTGTTATGTTGTCGAAAAGACGGTGGTGACAAACTTGTGGACAGTGATGGTGACTTAGAAGAGTGAATTAATTATAAAGAAAAATTGCGAATTCTTTCCTACAAGTTTATAGCGATTCCTACAGAGAAGTCAATTACATACGTTAAGTTATTTGTTACGGAGAGTTTCCGCGAAGTTCAACATTTCTTTAAAATGTTTTTAGAAGTTGTTGAGTTAGGGTTACCGGTAGCCGTTTTTTCTTATTATCAAATGCAATCCAGAATGAACAGTTCTACTCCAGAGGCAAAATTAATAACTGAACGCTTTTTCCATAATTTTAACATGGCATGATGGTTATGTCATCAATTATCTACCATTGAAGGTAGATAATTGTAGCGTTCATTTTATTAAATGTATCACGGCTACTCGAAATATTCAACTTAAAAATATTTATTCGTTTATCAATTCTCGACTTGTACTCATTCTCATAAAGAATTGGCTTAGTCAACAGTGAACTGCCACGAGTAACCATGACGTACAGTTACTTTCATCATTCCCTGAACCGTAATAGTTCGTTGTGCCATATTTAGGTTTGATACATATTAATACATTTGAATGTTCATATATGAACATTACATTCGTTCAGTTTTTCGTTCATATAAATAAGCATTTAAATCCTCTTATGCAAATCGGAAATCTTTGTTCACGCGCACCGCCCAGCGTTGCACCTGTCGCGCGAGTCAAGCAACGCGCCTCGCTTAAATCTACGGAATCTCATCGTAAACTGTCACTTGCCTCTCTATATGCAGACGTTTTCCGGTATGCAATTTTTTTAAGATATACGGCGCCCTTCTAAAATTGGATTGGTAAATTTTTTGAATTACCATTCTAAATATGTCAGCGCATTTTACATTGATTGATCAAAAAACCAACTTGTAAGACTAAACTTGTTCATCTGTATATAATAATGTGCATGTTTTTCCTAATCTCTACGGCATTACTCATGATGAGCTCGCTGCCGCACCTCGCCCGTTAGTAACACATCGGACGTTGCTTTGATGTACCCATGCGAATGTCGGCATTTTGGCCTGCCAGAGTTTCGGCTGTCATTTCCTTCCGCTGCTGCAGCTTCCTTCCGGTAGCTGTGACTGCCTTTCCTTTCCCACGTTTATTTATTGCATGTGAACGGCAACGAATTTTAGTGACACACATCTTGATTTCACTGGCTGCCCCAACACTCATTGGCTGTTGTGATATTGTGTGTTTTCATAGTTAGGTAAAAAACAGATAAAACAGTGTGCAGTGTTTGGATGAGAGGCGTCAGTGTGCAGTTTTTTATGAGAAGCGTGAGTGTGCAGTGTTTGTATGACAGGCGTCAGTGTGCAATGTTTGTATGAGAGGCGTCAGTGTGCAGAGTTTGTATGAGAGGCGTCAGTGTGCAGAGTTTGTATGAGAGGCGTCAGTGTGCAATGTTTGTATGAGAGGCGGCAGTGTGCAGAGTTTGTATGAGAGGCGTCAGTGTGCAGAGTTTGTATGAGAGGCGTCAGTGTGCAGAGTTTGTATGAGAGGCGTCAGTGTACAGAGTTTGTATGAGAGGCGTCAGTGTGCAATGTTTGTATGAGAGGCGTCAGTGTGCAGTGTTCAGCCCCGCATTTCACCTTGTAAGGTCTCGTAGTCCTAACAAGGACCTATCATTCCTTTAAGGGGAATCGCTTGGTCCCCTAAGGATCATGGGCGTCTCGTCCTGAGCCGATGAATTGCTGGGTGTGAGTGATGCCGCGCATGCTTCTATCCATTCTCGACGGTTCTCAACAATATCGTTCAATTTTCCTGATTTCCTGGCAGCTACTGCGATATTCTAAATGATAATTATCCCTTGTAAAATGATTTATGATGTGAAACGTGGTATCTTAATGAACCCCAACACCGTGTAGTTGTTTCTTCAAGCACGAGTCATTCTAACACGAGTCAATTCGAAATACCATGAACTTCTTATGTGAGAGACGTAGTTCAGCTGGGCAGTTGCCCCTGATGTGCTAAGCTGACATGCCTGGAAGAGGTCCTGACGTCATCAATGAGAGTGGGAGTTGCGTAAGGAAAGAGAGGAAGGCGTCCGGTTGAGGGCGGTTTTAGTTAAGGGGGATCTACTTATAGCTGCATTGCCTCTGCCGGTCGACCGATCTTATGGCGGCTGATGTTGTGTGTAAACTTCATCTTCTTAGAATGCTCTGCGTCAATCATGAATACTTAATAACGAAGACAAATCGCTGGTCGTACTTTACCATTCAATATTCGCTGTGACAGTTTTAGCTTGCATAGAATATTCAGGTCATTTTTCTCACTAATTTCGATGCGAATAGTACATGAAACAAAAGACACTGTTTTTGTGGGCGATAGGTATACCATCGAATAATTTTACTCCGTGCAATACTTACAGAAGTCAAGTTAGTTTATCGTAGCTCACCATAAGGGCTTATCAGTTAAGTGGCTGCACTACATTTCTGTTCTTATCAGAACTCTCTGATAAGAAGCATATCAAGCAGATCCATATCCTGTTTGTGGACCTTCTCTTTTCACCGGCTTCCGTATTATTCATTTGAGGAAGTCTAAATGAATTTTGTTACTAACTACAATACCGTCAGGAATGCGTCTTGTACTTTGAGAACGAATTGGCGCCCGTTTTCTCTTTGATGATTTTCCCCATTATCCTTTTCCCAACGGCCTGTTCTCTGTAGAAAGGAGCCGTTTCCTCTAGCGGCGTTTACCTGTTGCTCGGCGTGCCCCGACAGCCCGCAGCATCTCTCGCATTCTTTCCTCGTGCCCGAAGATTTACACCGCCATCTGTTCCTTAACTTTAAACAAGCTGCTTATCCAGTGTAAAAAGCTGTGGTCTTGTTGACCAGTCTGATTGTTGCAAATTATACCTTGTTGGCCAAATTTTGTTTCATCCAAATCACCTGCAGCAGTTGTGTTGCCAATATTTACGAGTGCTTGTAGAAATTTATTTTATTAAAGTTTAGCTGCATGTTTGGTTACTTCTCAGTTTTCTGGATTTCTAATGATTGGACTCAACCACGTTAGGCCTTAAATTTAACGCGAATTTACCGATTCCTAACTCCATCCAAGCTGTTCATTGGTCTATGAATGTCTCCCGTTTCACTTATTTATAGCTTTTGTTATCAATAAAACCAAAGTAACTTTTTATGAAGTATTTTCAGATTGTTTTTATGCATTTTTTATGTATCGAGTACCAATTGAAGTAAATCAAAACGTCAGTTCAATGCAAGCAACCACCCGCACATACACAAATGTTTCTGTTTCTACACAAGAGCGTCTTTAATAACAAGGTTTCGGTTGTTTCACGAATCGTTCCAATGTGGTTGCTGACCAGCTGGAGGCGAGCATCTCCGTATGCGGTTTGTTAGCGTTTTGTTAAGAGAGGACGTGCTCCTGCGACCATGCCCTGCAGTGGTTTGTCGTCCTCTGCTCAGCTTCCATTCCTTCCTCCCGAAGTTATTTTTTTAAAATCTTTTTCTACGGTTTTTTTTTGCGTTTGGAGCGTCGTTCCTTGGTAGCCCCAAGATCCCCGCCGGCGTCCAGAATCACGATCTCGCGACTGCGTCTTACGAACTCTCCTGCCGCTTCTAAAACTTATGGCATTGATTGTTAAATTATTTCATGCCTAATAACAGCACATTGATTTCTCTCATTTAAACCATAATGCAAATCGAATTTTTGCTCACGAAAGAAAACAACTTGCAAGAAGTAAAACAGATATTAGCGTAGCAAATGGATAATTGAAAACGTGAATTTTCTAATTTACCCCAATAAGAAACTCAGATGAAACTATTCCTGAAGTTTTGCCTGAGGCGAGGTTTTGTTTTGCTGGGAAGTGAATCTGTGACTAGGTGCATAAATAAATGCATGGTTGGGACGTTAACCCGTTAAAAGGTGAAAAAAATTAATGCATTGCTTGTAGTTGAACCTGTAAGTAGGCGAATAAAAGAGTATTGTTGGGAAGTGAACCTGTGAGGTGCAGCCTCGAGCCCCAGCTCAGCCAGGCTGCGCACCACACCCGCCACCGGATGTTGGTCATTACACCTCCCCATACCCACTCCCCATGCCCACCTCTCCAGCGTGCCCAGTATGCCCCCCTCCACCCCACACTCTGCTGCCCAGTCCTCCTTCTTTACATCCTTTCTTGAAGTTCAAATCCTTACTCGTCTTTTTCATGTTCGTTTGTCAGCCTGCGGGCTGCTTGCGTTTCGGTCGGGTTGTATGTAGGTATTGTCGACGGAATAAACGTAGCAGCACTCGTATAATGATGCGCTGTTGAGCAGGTGTTCTTAAAACAATAACGGAAAAATTCGTCTTTGTATTCAAGAAACATTTTGAAACCCTATTTACCGTAGACTTAGTTTGAAAGGCAAAGATTTCTACGGGCAAAAGTTAATTGAAGCAACATAACTCATGAAAAAAGATTCGATAAGGTAAATTGTTAGTGACGTCTGGGTATTGTGCTTGGATGCCCGCCCATAGTTGAAATTGAGCATTTTTTGTTGTTTACTTTTTTATTTCAGTTCAAGCATTCAGACGCGTTCATAGTTTTTCCATTTCTCATCCTGACCACCCTGTATATATGCAACATTTTTACTCATGACTATCCCGTGCGGAACATTCCCTAGCGTGGCCATCCTGCATTCTTTGCACAGCCATACTGCGTTCAACATTTCTTTGCACGACCATTCTGCGTTCAACGTTATTTGCACGACCATTCTGCGTTCAACATTTTTCGTGGCGCGCAGGTTAACATTTTCGCCTGAGGAAGTCGGTCGGCAGACACTGTCTTGTATCAGGTTCCTGGAGCCTTTGTGGCGAACATCCTGTGCGTCTCTGTCCATTCCTTCGTCCCGCTCCAACTTGGGACGTCGCGCGCGCTCAACTGAGACGCGTCCTTCTCTTAAGTGGAAAAACCTGAACTTTTGAACCTTGAGTGTCTCTCAAATTTTCTGCGGCGCTCCGTTGATTTGATCGAATTATGTACGGCGTTTTAGTTTGCAATTTTGTCCGAGTGCTTTACGTGCACCTTGTTCTTAACGATTAGGTTACAGTGACACCACCTCATATAAATTTTTTCATCTTTGACTCCTCGATTTGACTTTGTAATTACATTCTTTAAGGGGCAATTATAATTTTATATATAAAGGAACCCCTCTTCGCACAAAATAAAATTTATTAAATAATTGTGAAATCTTTCGACATCGTTAAAAATCCCTATTTTTACGACATTTTAATGTTTATCCGTTTTCAATGTAATAATGACTTGTTTTTGTGGGCAGGTTGCCAATCTGCAAGTATCCATCGAGAGCCCATCTGTAGAGTATGAAGGTACCACCTCTGAACCTGACGCCTGACATGAACAGAGTCGGTATGTCGTTGCCCTTCAGTCCGGAGCTTCTCTGGAGGTCCTACCCCAGCATGGCCTTCTCGCAGACGGCGTCTGCGGCGCCTCCTTCACCTCTCGACGTCAAAAACCAGCTCGACATGAAGACCTTGCCGTCGCGTCTCAGTAAGTCTCGCTTCGTCGTAGTTATTGGAATTACCTACTTACTCGATAGGAATTAGGAATAGTTTTTTTTAATATGAAAGCTGGGTGATTTGGGATTATTCATTGATCATGAAGTAAATAAAAATCTGCTAAAAATTCTAGATTCAGAGGTTATTGATTGCGGTGAAAGCATATGAGCTGATAAAGGAAAATAAGTGGGACCCTTGAGAAAAATATTCTCACAGTTGCAGGCAATACCTAAAGAAACATATCTATAGGCTGTAAGCGGGCTTTGCCTATCCTGGGTACATTAATCCACTATTGAATTATTTGATTGATCATAATTATCTTGTACTCGTATCTTTTTTTGTTACGCGAGACAATTTTCTCATTGCCATATTTTGGTGCAGGTTTGGATCCCCGCGTTTGGTCGCGAGAAGAAGTAATAATTTTCCTTGGTTGGGTTGAGAGAGAGTACGACCTGCCCGCCATCGACACCTCCAAGTTCTGTATGAACGGTGAGCACACGAGGGCTTGTGCATGCATAAAGAATTCGCGGAACGGAATATATTTACTGAATTCTTTTATGAATTCTGACCAAAGAGCGTTTTATAAGAGCGTTTTCCAAATCTCAGTTAAGCAATTTTACTACATCGAATTTGTAGCTTAACGCGAGTTTTTTTAGAAGTCCACTTATGTGTTGTATTCACTCACGCAGGTAAAGCCTTGATGATGCTGAACAAAGCAGACTTGTGCGAGCGAGCCCCAGACGCCGGGGACATCGTACACAACACCCTGCAGCAGATCTTGGGCCAGTCGTCGCACGTTCCTCCTTCCCCTTTGACTCCTCACCACCCCATGCTCTCCCCCTCCCCTCTCACAACCTCGGCAGCAGCTGCCACTTCTCAGACTTGGTCGTTAATGCCTCCAGAGTTCCACAACCTGAGCCACTTGCTCCAGCAGAACAGCTCCGTCACCCTCAGCCCTGCCCACTCAGAACAGAGCGGAGGCTCGCCCCGGCACCCCGATAACGCGTCCACCACTTCCAATGGCTCGGCCCCGGGCTACCCTCACTCTGGTAGCCAATCAGACTCTGAGGACTCCACACGAGATGCCTCATCTCCACAAAGATCGCCTGTACCGGCCCAGACGACATCCCAGTCGAATTTCTCAGTCCACGCATTGGCATCGTTCAAGCAAATTACGGACTACCAACAGCGAATGCAAGCTGCTGCCGCTGCTGCAGCTGCAGCTGTTCACAGTCAGCACCAAGAAGAAGCCCATCACAAACACCACCTGCAGCAGGCTCTACAGTTGCAACACCAGCAGCAGCAACAGTCTCAGCAGAGTGCGTCGCAGCTCCACCATCACGTTTCTCATCAAATTCCATCGCATGTCCAAATCAAATCTCGATCGTCGCCCCCATTGAGCTCATCATTGTCTTCAAGTTTACCAGCGTCGTCACAGCAACAGCAGCAGCCGCAGAGTCCTGATGAGGCCGTGGAACCCGGCACAAATGGACGGCTTTTATGGGACTTCTTACAGCAACTCCTGAACGACAGGGACGGACGGTACGCTCGGTACATCGCGTGGAGGGACTCCAGCACGGGCGTCTTCAAGATAGTCGATCCTCCGGGCCTTGCACGACTCTGGGGCATTCAGAAGAATCATCTGAGCATGAATTACGACAAAATGTCCCGCGCACTGCGCTACTATTACCGTGTCAATATACTTCGTAAAGTTCAAGGCGAGCGACATTGCTACCAATTCTTGAGGAACCCAACCGAACTTAGGAATATTAAGAATATCAGTTCCCTGAAAATCCCGTCTAGTGTATCTCCTCAGTCGCCGCAACGGCAGCACCAGTCTCAGCAGCAACTGCAATCCCACCAAATGCCTCATCAGCAGGCGCTGCACATGCAGCAGCAATCTATGATCTCATCTCAAATGGTGTCTGAAGGTCCAGAGGATGAAGAGGAGGAAGGACCTACCGACCTGTCAATGTCGAGCCTGCATCACCACCATCATCACCACAGCCACCACATTAGCCGTCACTCTCCACAAGACATGCATTCTCGTCGCGCTGATTCTCCTCAAGACATGAGCGTTGACGCGCACTTCGTCAAGGAAGAAGTTTCCACTGATTAAATGTGTCAAGAAATTTCGTTGTGTTTCGATTGTTTTTGCGTGACTGAGGTTCTAGATGTGACTAGATCTTGTGCTATTTAATCATTCGCGCTTTTATGGGATTTCAACTTGTTTTATCTGATGTCTGTGTTACTACAAAGATTTTAGTTTAATGCAAATCATATTGTATTTCATTGTTCGGTATCCACATTTCATCACGGTACACATTTTCATTTTAATTAGATTTTTGACTCACGTTGAGTTAAGTGAACGCGTTCTGATTTCATTTAATGGGGTCCTTATAGTGAATTTATTGCTCGTGTATTTTCTCTTGTATGTGCTGAGGTTTACGGTTTGTCTGAGGAACCAAATTTACTGTGATATCCAGAGCGTGTAGATATAAACCCTCCCTTTTTTCTAATTAGTTCTAGTGTAAGAATTGACGTATAAACTTAAGCACTTAAGACGGTATTAATTTGCTATTTGAGTTATTATGAACATAGGTTTTTTTTAGCGTAAAGAAAATCTTATTTTCATCGGGATTTGAAACCACGTTGCATTATCGTAGCTTTAGCGCTTTCAGTTGTTGAGCGGTTATACTGAATAGTCGGTTTGTACGTCTTTCTTTTGTTCAAAAGCACGATGGGTAGAATTTCGTGCTAAGCATTGTGCAATGGCACTATTGGAATATTGTTCCTCTCGTACGTGTATAAATAAATCTTTGTATAACTGCTATTAGTTTATAACTCGTCTTTTTTTGTACAAACTTTATGTATTCGAGGATTGAGAGCATAAACATTAATTAGACTTACTTGCCTTCAAACATTCTTTGAGTAACTGCTGGATGTTTCAATTAGCTGTACGCAGCATTCTATGTTCTCTTTAATAACTCGCTTAAAGAGACGATTAGATGCTTGTACATTTCTTCACCTCTATCTCCGTTATTATGTTTTTGTTATTATGTCCGCAACCTTATTATGTACTTTATCTTTTCAAGAGCAGATTCTCTTTGAGGTTCGGTAGTCAAATAACAGTGATGCAGTCAGACGTGCCCTCACGCTATGGACAGAAGCTGGATTCGTTTCAGGGTACTGCTTATTCATGTACTCATGAATAAGCAGTACCCTGACTCATGCTTAAGTACCCTGACTCATGCTTATTCATGCTTATATATTCATGTACTGCTTATTTGAGGCATTATTTGTTACTTTTATTCAAGGGATTAAAAGACGTGTGAGAGTTTGTTACCTTAGTCATTTCCGAACTTGCCGAGTTGGCTCAGCGTACTGTTTTTTTGTTGTGGGGAAAGGTTTTCGTACAGAAATATAAGATGGGACATAGGAAATTTATCGCATGGAGTATTAGATGCTTCAACACAAGATGATGTTCAACGAAACTATGTTTACGTATCACGATTTGTTTTTGATAATTGAAGGTAGACAGTTGAGAACATCGTTGATTTTTTTGTTGTCGTCTGCAAAGATTTTGCGTGAACATTCCGTTGTTTTTCCACTTCTCCACAAGAATTTGTTCTATTCATTTTTTCTTTCAAAGCAATGAATTATTAAACGATGACGATCTTGTGTGCTGAATATGCAAATCATTCTTTAATTATGATTCATGCTTTAACAAATTTAGATAATGTTACTTCTACATCTAACTTAAGAAATATCAAGAATTTAACTCTCCGGGATTGAAAACTTTTCTTTCTCAACCTCGGCTTCAACTGACTAATAACTTTTGTAAAATTGTACAGTTTGTTTAATAACTACTATATTCCGTGTACTTATCTGCATCCACGTGTTTCTTCTTCACTTCCATGAAATCCATTTATCTATGTCCAGTAGGCCTTGTATAAATGTATTTATGAATAAACTCGTTTTATACAAATCAATACGACTTATTTTAATTTCACCAGCATTACATTACATGATGCGTCGCAAATCCAGACTATGATTCTAACAACGTGAAAGAGACCGGTATTAATGAACAGTATTCAGACTGGTATTTATGAACGGTATTCAGACTGGATGAACGGTATTCAGTGAGATTGTCAGACTGGTATTTATGAACGGTATTCAGTGAGATTGTCAGACTGGTATTTAGGAACGATATTCAGAGAAACAGTCAGACTGATATTTAGGCACGGTATTCAGAGACTGAGAGATAGTCAGATTGGTATCTAGGAACGGTATTCAGACTGGTATTATGAATTTTAAGTGAAACTTACGAACGCCACCAGAACTTGTTCTAATTAACTACATGGACCTATTTTATGCTTTATTTATCAAGCTAAAACAAAAGCTTACATTAATGATTTAGTGCTCGCTAATTTTAGGAGCTGAAACGTAATTTAAATTTTTAAAACGAAAATGAATCACTCATGCCAAGACAACTTTTCTCTGACATCAGTGGTTTTGACCTGGGAGTTAACTCGTTATAAACGTTCAACAGTATCTATGAGAGAGTAAATATTGACGGACTTGGAACTTTAGAGGAATGCTAGCAGCAAGGGTTCTTAAGAATAAATGCGATGGACGTCGGTTCTTTGATATATGGTACGTTTACCGCCTTCAAGGGCTCTCGATGTTGAGACAAACATTATGTACAATATTACTACGTATTTTGGAAATAAAAAAAAAACAAGAAGCAAACTGACCGGTTAAATAAAAGGAACCGCAATATATGTGTGAAAATAGATTGAGTATGAAGGGAAACATATGAAAGATTATAATGTAAACACTTATCGTCAACACCGGAGACAAAGCGCTGCACCGTTGAAGGAAATGTTGGACTCTTATGAGCATTTAATATAAGATAAAAAACATAACGATAATTGCATTATATTGAAAAAATAAAGAGTAAGATGCAAAGGATATGCAAGAAATCATTACAACGAAAATAACGATGTTCTTAACCACCAAATGCATGTAAATACTATTTTGATCGAACGAAAACATATTTTCTGATGTCGTTTGAGCTTGAGTTTGACCTCATATTTATTCCTTGCTCTTTGAGCCTCAGAGGTCTAATGCGGGGAAAGATTTACTACAAGCCAGAATTGACAGAATGAAAAAATCAGTAAAAAAATCAGTCAAAATAAAAAGAAATCATTCGGGAATTTCATTGAAATGAGAATTGAATGAGTTAAAAAATGGCAATATGTATATGATGTTGGGCTGAGAATTACGTCGACCGATGAACAGCTATTAGGAAAAATGAAATATTTGAGGGACTCTCCAAGCGAGTGCGGTGCTATAACATAACATAACATAGTGATCTCGGCGCTGCAGTGTAGGCCTGATGTGGCCTGTCGCCGATTCTTTTCCTTTTCGTGCCTTCTTCGCAGAAATTCTAAAATCGTGTCATTTGACCGTATTTTTTCATGACTGACGAAAGTTTGAAATAGCTACTCGACTTCCACCGGGTTCGATATGGTGCTAGGCATTTCAAATCTGAACATATATTTATCCATAGCTTTATCTAGTCTGTTCGTGAACGCGTTCATACTTGGAGCGCCAACGATGTCATCGAGGAGGCTGTTCTACATGTCGGTGATTCGAAGCGAGAAGAAATTTTGTCGCGTAGAGAAGTTGCAGCGCAGTTTTTTTAGCTTAGAGCCGTGGCCACTGGTGTTGGTTCTTGTTTCAAATTCTAGTAATCCTTCCGGGACCTTGTATAAACCATGAGCATACTTGTATACTTCAATGAGGTCCACACGCAGACGTCGATAACTGAGGCTTGGAAGCTTCATAATCTTTAATCTTTCTTCATAGGACTTGTCCTTCAAGCCTGGAATTATCCTTGTTGCGCGTCTTTGAACATAATTTATTAAATTTCTGTCCTTTTCAAATCTCGGTGACCACACAACATTTCCAAACTCTAGATTCGGGCTATATGTTCTTTCGGGCTAACTATGTTCCAAACTATTCGGGCTAAATATGTTCTGATGAATGACCAAGACTTCGCCACATTCATATTCATGATACAGTCAGAAATGTTCGCTGCACTCACTGATTCACGAAGTTTAACATAGTCGCCTTTCGCAAAGTTGAAACGTTCACGCTTCCGAGGCGTCTTTTCTGTATAGCACTTAATACTGAAAAACAATGACTGGTGGTGACTTTTGCCCAACGGAGACTCGTGGCGAAGCTCTTCTACCATTGATTCTTCACTAGTAAACAAAATGAAATCCTCGCAGTGTTCACAGATGACCATCTGATCATCTTCTCTCAACGAGGTCTCTTTGCAAAACTTGCATGCATCTTCAACTACGCACTTCGATCTCCTGTTCGATTTTTTCGGCGCATCTTGTTTCAAAGAACCGCATTCCTTCTTAACAATCTTGTTTACTTTCTTCCCAGCCATCGAAATATCTTCTTTCTTAATTGTTTAATGATTTCCGGGTTTCTTCACTGAGATTTAGCTAGGGTCTCTCACAGCAATAAATCACCGGAAACAATAAATCACCGGAAACAAGACTGTTTAACACAACCGCCCGACGGTAATAAAGTTCCGGAAGTACAGCACAGCCGCCCGACGGTAATAAAGTTCCGGAAGTACAGCACAACCGCCCGACGGTAATAAAGTTCCAGAAGTACAGCACAATCGCCCGACGGTAATAAAGTTCCGGAAGTACAGCACAACCGCCCGACGGTAATAAAGTTCCGGAAGTACAGCACAATCGCCCGACGGTAATAAAGTTCCGGAAGTACAGCGTCCGATCTCCAGATTGAGAGATAGCACGTTCAGATTGTTCAGATTGAGACAGCACGTCCGATCTCCACCGCGTCTCAATCTGAACTATAAACTTAACTTCTTCAAACATTTCTCAAGTTGACGACGTGTCACTCATATACAAGTGAGAATTGAAGCAAAGATGAGTATAGAAAGCTCCCACGACGTCATTGATGAGACACCAGACTCTATACCGAGCGCATCATCCTGATTCGTGCGAGTGTTGAATTTGGTGTGCGGGTGTGAACCAGTATGCAGAGCTGGGCAGCGCTACTTTGAAATGTAGCGGCCGCTACCGCTATCACTACATGCTCTAAATGTAGCGCCACTACAGCTACCGCTACTGAAAATGCAGCGGCCGCTACATGTAGCGCGCTACTGCCCACCTCTGCCAGTATGATTGCATCTCTGCTCTTTCGCACAATTTGAACCAGGGTGTATGAAAAATGCCAATGTGAACTGAAAGTGTATCGAAATGATCTATGACTCATTAGGCCGATCAAGTATCAAGCATTCCGGCAAAATGAATTATAGAATTCAGAGGAGATTAAGAAGCGAGCGAAAGCCTCGCTATTCACTGGAGTTTTAATTTTAGGGAAGCATCAGTGAAACTTCCTTTTCGCAAGACATCAGGGAAACTAAATAATAAATTATTTTGCTCGATTGACGTTCAACCTAGCAATTCTGACTGTTTTAAGAATGTAATGTTGACAGCAAGTAATGATGAATGCGAGAAAAACCGATATAAAATGTTCAACCACTTCATTAGCGAGTTTCATTCAGTGCACTCGCACTGAAGTGTAACCATGGCTATACAGCTAGCTACTCCAGTAGCTAGGTAAATACGATGCAGCTACTGGATTTCACGTGTACATTAGGCGACGATGGTAAAATTGACGAGGAAAAATAAAAGGGTTTACAAAATATTAATAAGTTGTACTAGAAAAAAATATTAGAAGTAGCCCAAGCTAAGCTACTTCGCGTATCGAACACCTGACTTCAGCTTCAGCAATACGGGCAAAGAATAATAATAATAATCCTAGCAGCGAGATGTTTTACGTTCAAAACTTGAGATCAAGAGAGGACATTTGGGTGAAAAAATTCATAGCTAAACTCACATTGAAAGTTTACATTGCAGTAAAGGGTGGGAACTTCTTAGAAATTTCAATCCTTCTGTTCACATAATTCATGATTTAAATTTTTTGAAATGAAAAAAAAATAAACAATTCAAGTTTTCCAATAGAAACACAAAATAACGAGAAAAATGTTGCTCGAATTTCGTGAGACCGTCTTACAGTATAAAGAGAGTAGCTTACTCGGCAGTACGGGCTCGATCACATCACGCATGGATTTGTACAGCGACATGGACTGCAACGATCGGTACAATAAAAGGGACCAGAAAAACTAAATTTCCAGCTGCAAATGACTTTTAGCAAAATTTTACAGAACAGATTTGAAACTCAGATACACAAATTCATGATAAATTTATTCGAACAAACAAATCATATGGATAGGGTTTTTTAGTCAATTCTTGAGCGTACGATGCGCGGCAGAAGCGTCCTAAGTTATATTGCACTTGATTACTATTTGGAGCATCACCACACCGCACCAATGATGCTGCGAAGAAGAAGTATCACAAAGACTCCAATAAGCGCATGAGCGCCAACTATAACCATAGAGGCGACCTAAGAGCCCGACATGGAGAGGACGATTGCACCGAACAAAACAAGGAATGATGACGAATTCGCCCTCGATCAAAATATTCGTAGATATGAGAAAATAGTACAAGTCAAAGAATTATATTAATTACACATTCTTTGTCTGTAGAGCAGCTGCTCTCTAACTCAGCAAGATAATCATGACTATACTAATTAGTTCAAGGTTATTGTTTAAAATAATTTTCAATTATTTCTCAAAAGTTTATAATTTGGATTTCAGAATCTAACCAAATGCTCGAAACACCACATCCAACAATCATCTATCGAGTGTTTACTCCTACATCCATTACGAGTTTCCTAAATGCATTCATTAACAACTTTCGGCTCTAACTTCGCATTGCGAGAAATTTCTTCACGAACTTAAGCTCGACCTCGTTTGTAGATGTAGCATCCACAACAGAATATCATTTAACGCCTGTGAAGAGTTTAGAACAAGGCACTAAATTTCTCAACTTCTTACCATATTTTCCCTCAGCTTGTGAGGGATTCTGCCTACATTGTCGAATGTTTGATAAGTTAATTATTATCGGTGCTTGAATATGTGAAAGCTAACAATTTGCTGAACACATTTAGTGGCGATAAAAATTATTAAGGAACTTAAAATCTTATAAAGGTGGTCAAAGATGAACAAAACGCTTAGAATTAAACAATCGCTGCTTAAATTTTGCAAATTATGCATTGAAACTGACAAAATTTTATCTACGCACAGAAAATAAAGCGCATTGCTTTGGATATCATGACTAGGGACAGCGACGGGCCCAACTCTGATAGAACACTGAAAAGAAATGTATTGAAGAATAATTTCTTTCCTGTAGTAAGCTTATTGAAAAATAATTTCTTTCCTATCGTAAGCTATCATGTATATACCGCAGTCAGAATAATCCAAGTTATTCCTTCCGATCTCGAAATTGGATGTTAAAAATAGTAAGATAAGCCAGACTGAGTAGGAGTGAAAATTTGGCAATTGGTAACTGGGCAAATTCATCCCTTGTTGTTGCTGTCTCGCCATATGATTTCAAATTAAACTAGGTCTTCTGACAACTTCATTCTATGCCGAATATTAATGCACGTAATACAATTCGGCCGAAATCTGCAGCGAGCCACCCAGGCTAGGACGTGTTAACTTCTCATATCGGGAAGTTCACACTCCGAGCGTAAAGTCTTTGTGAGGGAATATCTGAGCCAGCACGCATTTTAGGGCAACGAGAGGTTTCCAGGTGGCCGATGAATAGCAAACGGTCGGCTAGTATCAATTGGCTGATGACATTTTATTTTTACGAACGATGACCTTTTATTTTTACCGTTTCTAGTATAGGATGCTTAACCACTAGCACTCTAGGGCGTGGCATCTGATGAATAAAATTAGTACAGTCAAGATCGTCATTTGCCACAAAAGAATCTTGAATATATGATTCAAAATAATAATTAGAAGTATCATTTCTTTTTGGAAGATTACATAAATAAATCTCAGTCATACGTAGACCATAACTCTCCCTTAGATAAAGGGATTTATAAGCGAGCGTTCGAGCTTAATATCAATTTGCTTCTTCCACCAGAACGATATCATCAATATTTCTAATAGAGGCCGCTGGAGAACAATCACAAACGCATTTTCCTCTACTTAGGGCTTGTAATTTAATTAAAATAAACATTATAAGTGAAGTGTCTAGTCATCGCAGTCTAGCGCGATGGTATATCCCTTGTCGAGGATGAGGCCAAAGCACGTGTGGATGGTGCGGTGTCGAGCGAGCCACCGCACGCGACAGCTCGAGTGCGGGGCGCCCACGCGACCCAGGATGCTGGACACCACGTCTTCGTCCAGCATCTCTGTCAACAGGAGGGTGATGTGGTCATATAATAATACAATAGTAAGGATGGTGTGATAGAGGGGATAACTGTGTAGAAAGGGTGGTGTAATGGAAAGAAAGGTGTAATATAAAAGGATAGTGTAATGGAAAGGATGGTGTAAAGGGTAGGAGGGTGCAATAAAATGAATGATAAAATAAAGAATGTGATACTTTCAACATTAGTCTGATTAAATGGCAAATTTATCAAGAATTCATAAGCAAAAAGGGAGTACCGTATATTCGGAATGACGTCGCGTAACATTTATATCAGGATTGCCGAACACCACGACAAGATTGCCGAACACCACGACAGGATTGCGGAACACCACGATTGCCGAACACCACGACAGGATTGCCGAACACCACGACAAGATTGCCGAACACCACGACAGGATTGCCGAACACCAGGAGGTCATGGTGCCGTCGCAGTCTGTACCGTGCAGTGGCACGTACCGTGGTCGTCGGAGTGGGTCAGAATTTGGACGTCGTGCGTTCTGGCAAATTCCGTCATGGGCTCAGACACCGTGCAGCAATCGTCCACGTTGATCTGCAGCGTCGACGGCTTCACCTGCAACAACAAGTCTCTTGAGTTGCGAAGCACCAACGATCTGTCGTAGAGATAACGTCGATTAAACGTTCTTTCGATGAAATAAACTCGTAATTAACTTTGTTCCAACGAAGTCAACGTTGTTTCAGCGGAATCAAAGTTGTTCTAACGAAATAAACGTTGTTTCAGCGGAATGAAAGTTGTTCTAACGAAATCAACGTTGTTCCAACGCAATCAAAGTTGTTCTAACGAAATCAACGTTGTTCCAACGCAATCAAAGTTGTTCTAACGAAATCAACGTTGTTTCAGCGGAATCAAAGTTGTTCTAACGAAATCAACGTTGTTCCAACGAAATCAATGTTGCTTCAACGAAATCAACGTTGTTTCAACGAAATCAACGCTGCTTCAACGAAATCAACGTTGTTTCAACAAAATCAACGTTGTTTCAACAAAATAAACCTATAATTAACGTTTTTTACAATCGAATCAACATTATTTTAACGAAATCAACTAGTAATTAACGTTGTTCCAACGGAATCAACATTGTTTCAACGAAATAAACTTGTAATTAACGTTGTTTCAACGGAATCAACATCGTTGCAATGATATCAACTTGTAATTAACGTTGTTTCAACGGAATCAACATTGTTTCGACAGAATCAGATCGTAATCAACACAATTCTCCTGAAATTATTTAAGAGTTAAATAAAACTATCAATGGCGTAGTGCCCTTGCCCAGACAAGGAAGAAATTAAATGTCCAACGTCTTTTCACTTTGAAGGCCCTAAACGCATAAATAATTTTTAAGTCAAACATTATTGAAGTTTACGCAACTGAGTTATTCATTTCTAATCATTCGATTATTAGGGGCAAAACCAAATAGACAATTTTGTTTCGTTCGGCAGGGATAATTTTTTCCGCACCCTAGAAAATACGAGTTGTTCATTTATAAGCTTGATTTCTTTAGGATTTTTGTAGCGCTGACCAATCAGCGACAGAATTACTAACCAAGCGAAAGATATTGCAATGAAATATACCAGTATTGACCCTAATTTATTAGATATTGCAATGAATTTTTCAAGTACTGACCATAATTTGAATGATATTAAAATGAATTATTATAGTATTGACTCATTTCATACATATCGCAATTTATTATTTCAATTTTGACCCTCATTTCAAAGTCCCACATTTCGATTGGCCAAACTTCCTCCTTGTCGCGGAATATTATCCCAACAAAATTCGGGGATCGCCTATAGGCTTCAGCCGAATAATCATTACACTCGGCACAAAGATATACTCGGTCTGCTTGGCCACCCGATCAAAATCAGTTTCTGGTCAGAATCTCCAATCCGACTTTATAGTCGCCTGAGAGTATATATATAGACAAGGGTTGGCTGAGCCGAGTCATACCGAGCTAGCAAGCTGCCCAGAGGCTGCCCTTCGAACCCTGAGCTGAAACGGACATCGAGAAGCTGATTTACGTGCTCTCCGAGTCCTAAGCGATCCTAATGCAGGGTCGCTCACGCCTCTAGATTTTGTTAGGGAAGCGACATTTGTGGGCATCAATACCTTCAAGCGCCAAGGACACTCAACGACCGCATAAATACACCTCAGTGTCGCAGGTCGTGTCGCACACAGCCACGCCGAACGCTCTATCAATCGATCTCAACATTTCGGCGAAACGTGTCAGGCCCCGGCGCGGTGGGAGGCGTGAATATTCTGGCGGCTGAGCTAAGAGTTGCAGCGGCGGTGCTATAAATTGCACCAGGCAAGACAGCAAGTCCATGTGGCTGCGGCGGGGCTATATATAGCACTAGGCAAGACAGCAAGTCCACGTGACTGCGGAGGTGCTATATATAGCACCAGGCAAGGAAGCAAGTCCACGTGGCTGCGGCGGGGCTATATATAGCACCAGGCAAGGAAGCAAGTCCACGTGACTGCGGCGGTGCTATATAGCACTTGGAAAGACAGCAGTTTCATGTGGCTGCGGCGGTGCTATATATAGCACTATATAGGCAAGGCAGCCAATCCACGTGACAACTTCGTTGCTAGTACAACTCCCTAGGCAAGGCAGTTAGTCACTTAGTCTAAGTGGCAGCGGCGGTGCTATATAAAGCACTAGGCTGAGCGAGCAACCAATCCACGGGGCAGCGGCGAGTGCTATACGAGGCGGTATTTAAAGCAGAAAATACTATACGGTGCTATATATAGAGGAAAACTGCAATGAGGTAAGTAGGAAGACCAGGAAATGGTTTAATATTAATGATTATTCCGGCCAGGAGATACACATACAAGAGACCGTGACAAGCCTATCCAAGCATAGATAAAAGTTCAAAATCTACGGAAGAATAGATAAGTAAACTAATAAAATTATTGCGTCTGTCTACTTAGCAGTATCTGGTTGGTAAATGACGTTTGTTGTACCAGGAAAAGGAAGCGAAAATTCAAAACAGACTTCACGCAGTAAACTGATACCGAGTAAACGGAGAATGTGCGCTGAGTAGATTTCTTCTCTAGCATTAGATATTGACCCTCTAGCATCGAGCGCTCTCGGCGTGTAAAAATGCCATTTTTTGTGACGCACGATGAAGAGTGACTAAATTATACCTGCTAAGAACTGAATAATTCAGTTCCGCAAAGTTGGGACATTAGCCTTAGTCTGACGTCACAATTTTGCGGAACTGGAGTTGCCCGAGTTGGTTGCCACATGCATGGTATATATCAGCATTACGTAACGACTGCGGAGGCCTTCTGAAACATTGCTTCGCTTCTCGTGCAGTGGGCAGAATGAATAAAATATCCATCTTTTGAATCCATTTGGGATATTTGCCTGTAGTTTTTTGTGAATAAAGTACTTATTGGCATGTGTTTTGATAGTGTATTAGTTTAATTGCGGTATAATAGGGAGTGCAGGGGTAATATCAATTAGTTCGTTAGCAGTGTATCGTAACTAGTGCGCTTAAGAATTACTCAAATATTTTCAGAGCGAAATCGATAATCCTGAATTACTGCATAATATAATTAAGGGGAATTAGGATAGTTTAAATCATCTATTCAAATCATGAATATTATAAGTATCAAAAACTAATTACTAATTTTTTCGAGTGATCAATCGAAATTTTTATCATATTCATTTTAGTTTCAGGAGCTTGTTTCCTCTTACTTCAATTAGAAGAAGGCAAACTCCAATATGCTTTCTTGTGTTTTGCCTTCTACTGCGGCCTGACCATCTTGGCTCCTTTGCTTCTGCTTAATTCTAATTAAATAATACCAACAGATAGAAAAATAATTTTTCTTTTCGGACTTAACTGCTTTTAGTTGTCGTAGTATGTCATTCCGTAGTATGTCATTGAGAGTACCGTGCTAAATTTTACCTACCTGGACTTGTGATCGCACGCCTCGATTTTCAAGCTATCTTATTGACCTTAGTTAGGGATGAAAATTGCGAAAAAAATTCTTCAAGCCTTTGAATTTAGTTTAACAACGAATAACAAGTCTTTTGAGGTGATCGAATTAAAATATAGGAACTTATATGAAGGAAGAAATGTGCGATTGCCCTGCTTGCCTCGGCCAACTCGTAGAGTTCCTCAAAGGTCCGGAAGTGTGGCGGGAGTTTGAACTTACCTCAGCACACTCGTAGAGTTCCTCAAAGACCTGGAGGAGTTGCGAGGGTCGGGCTTACCTCGGCCCACTCGTAGGGTTCCTCAAAGACCCGGAGGAGTTGCGAGGGTCGGGCTTACCTCGGCCCACTCGTTGAGTTCCTCAGATACCCGGAAGTCAACGAGGGTTGAACTTACCTCGGCCCACTCGTAGAGTTCCTCAAAGACCCGGAAGTGTGGCGAGGGTTGAACTTACCTCGGCCCACTCGTAGAGTTCCTTGAAGAGCCTGTAGGAGGCGTCTGCGATGCCGATGTGGCTGACGATGCCGTCATGCACGGCGCCCTCGAGGGCGCGCCACGTCGGAATGAGGTCCTGCAGAGGCGAGTCGTCGCTCACGTCGGGCGGCGCGACGATCACGCTCTCTATGCACTGGCGATCCACGTTCTTCATCACTGCGAACCGCAAGATAACGAGGTTATGAATATTAGGAAAATGTTTAAAAACGTCATCCGTAACTGAATAAATCAGCGTACTATCTGTAACTTATTTAGTACCATTACACGGGAGTGACGTCCCGATATTTCAAAGTTGAATTATTTACTGTTCAACGACACTATTTAACGTGACATTATGTTCTTCTGCGACTTCAGAGGATATTATTCTTCACCATTGAACTGCTATGAAAAAACACTACCGTTAATAATGAGAAAATATATTCAGTGTACGTACAAAAAAAATTATTAGTCAATACAAGAGAATATACGTGAGCGTATGTTGCCTTCAGAAATTGAAGTTTGAATTTAAGAAAAGCTTTTTTTAAACGTGCGCGGTGTTGTATTGAGGCAAAGCGATAAAAAAACATGCATTGTAGGCCGTGGAAATGAGCAATGGTGTATGAGTACAAATTGAAAAAGTCGGTAAATGCCTGGTGTGACTGTATTTCCACACATACATAGTTGTAAGATGTAAGCAATGCAATTCTAATTAATTGGCACAAGGTAATTAGTCGCATTGAGCACCATTCTCCATTTGTGTGCTTATGCGCACACCTCGAGACGCATGAGGTTAATCTCAAACCATGGGCATGCAGGCAGAAAAAAAAAAACTCTGGTCTGAAAATTTCGATAACTCAGCGCGTATATTTAGCGCTGCGGCAACGCGTCACAGGAAATGTTTTCAGGCAGCCATATATGCGCGTCAAGAGCCGTACTATCAAAAATAGCTACGAGTTCGTAACTCCGTCAGCCAATCACTGACAGCTTTTCCACCTAAACGCACCAAACACCGACGAGGAACGGGTGCTAGGGGTACTTAGGCTGCCACGTGCACCTAAGCGAGTTTTGATACTTCATATGATAATTCATTATCATATGAATTATCATAAAGTCCCAGAGCACTTCAGTGCTGAGTGAGACCTCCAGGCTGCACACTCCCGGGTTCGACGTTCTGGGAGAAGTCGCATGTAGTAGCTCATGATTTCGCGTGTGGTCTTCAATTGTGAATTAAAATTGAATATTTTGAGTTATAAATAAAAATTCAGTAGATGAAGCCTCGATGGGTATTATAATTGTACATGTTCCCAGAATTTAAATATTCATAGTTTATGCATGTTTTAATTGAAGGTGACACCTAAAAATTAGTTCGCAAACATTTACTATATTTTCTGGCATAATTACTAAGATAAGAGAGGCCAGGTATAGAGTGGCTGCTTATTTACTCAGTTGTATTAGAGTGGCCAGGTATAGAGTGGCTGCTTATTTACTCAGTTGTGTTAGAGTGGCCAGGGATAGAGTGGCTGCTTATTTACTCAGTTGTATTAGAGTGGCCAGGGATAGAAATTAGAGTGGCCCGGGATAGAGTGGCTGCTTATTTACTCAGTTGTATTAGAGTGGCCAGGGATAGAGTGGCTGCTTATTTACACCGAGCACGAGCGAGGACGCGACAGAGCGGCTCGTCTTTAACGGAGATCGATAGCCTGGGCGCGACCTTGATTCTCATCTCACCGGCGCCGGTGGCCGCAATAGCGCCCGCGAGGGAACACTTGGTCGACGAGTTTTGCAATTACGATCACTAAATTGGCAAGAACAATTTATGAGCTTCTGACTCTCATGAGGAAAGCCAATATTAATAAACGAGTAGAAGCTGTCTTTCAATTAATAAAAAATAAAAAAGACAGGCACAATGAAAGTCTTATGAAGTGGTCAGTTTTACTGTTAACTTTCAATTTCCACTAAACCTTTTATCATTAATAAATCATTATAACAAGTAATTTGTTAAATTTAATGTTATGTTTTGGATTTTTTCTAATTTTTGTGACATACGTCGGGAGATTAGTATATATATCGAATAAAGATACCTTGTAAGGCAAGCTTAGGAAATGACCTAATATTTTCCAGCTACTCGGAACACGAAGCCTCGGGAGATCGTTCATCAAAACATGTCAGCAAACAAACGGCCAACGACGCAGCGGCTAGAAAAAGCATGCTTAAAAAATATATTACGTGACGCACGAACGAGCGCACAAAAGCTCGAATGATCGTCCATCATTCATGGCAGGCGGCTGCAATAGCAAGCATGCTGGAAGTTATCAAAGTTTCATCAGTTTATCAGACTTGCATCACCTGCAGAATTTGCTCGGAATATGCCCACCATGCAAAGCTAGACGCACAAGAGCAATGAACTAGTATAATATCGACGCATTGATTAAAGAATGTGGTTGTGCGTTCAAGACATTCATTTTACACAGCATATTCTATTGGGTGCGCTCTTTTCTCGTTTAAATTTTGTATGAAGGGCAAGGGTTGCAACGCAGTGAATACTTTAGTCTCGTCTTGGACCGGAAGACGCTTGTTTTACTCGCTCAATTAATTATAAGAATACCAACGAAAATATATAATGCTACATGAAATAAATTTAGAATAAACGAATGAACGAAATTTGAATATTTCACATTGCAATTTATGATATTATTTACATATTTGTCATCTCCACATCAAATATTTAAGACAAGTTCTTAATAGATATCTACGGGAAGCTATCTCATGAATGGATACCTACTCGTGGAATATTCAGCTCTTTCAGTTTGCGTGATTACGACTTTAACGAATTTATCAGCAAAATCAAATAAAAAATGAGTGGCAAAAAATGAGTGGCCAAACAAAAATGAGTAGCTTGGCCTGTTTCGTAGACTAGATTTGAATGAAGTGAATTAGAATGCTGGGCCGAAGTTGATTCAAGTCAACTACCCTTAATCGAAATATTTTAAAACAACTTGGGCTTTAGAATTAGAGAGTATTATTACAATAGTTGTACAATTTCAATCACTCTTCAAGGCATTCATTATACTTAAACAGATATACGTATTACAAAGCCGTGGAGCAATGACGCAAGAAATGTGTTCCACTAACCAGTTAAATGCTGACCTATACCAAGCCTCGCCGGGAAGACCGCTATAACCTAGTGACCGCTATAACTTAGCCTTTGTAAACTATGGGTAAAATCAATCTCTTCGCTCATGCTATTGAAGCCCATCATCTGAACCGAAGTGAGTCAACTTGTTTCTTTTGAGTACAGCTGGTGAGCGCGCTCCGGTATTGTGCCAAGTGGGACTGACCTTGACACCAATGTTATGGTGGTCACTAGGAGACATCAGGCAGCAATTCCAAGGTCAACATCGACCCATAATAATGATTGAGTTTGAATCTGGCGTGAGTAACGGTTGCATGACTCGTTCAATCCAAACATTATTAATTATGTATGGAGCTGTGGCGCCGTGTCATAGATACAAAATAAAGGCTTCCATAAAATATTGCTATATAGTCAGGAAACGAATGCATCATTCATGATTTATTCAACCTCACAAATTTCTAAATACATTTGAACAAGATGAGTTTTCATTTGGGATAAAATTCTTGCAAACGCCGCTTATATGAACTTGTGAGCTCTAGTTTCATTATTTACAAATGCTAATAAACATGGGAGTAATTGAATATATTGAGTAATTGTAATACTTGTACAATGAATAGTTTAAAGTACGAGTACGGTAGATTGAGTGAACAGGTTACAGTAACAAAGATTGCCTTGAGGAACTGTAACGTGACGCCTGATTGCGGTGTGAACAACACAGCAATCAGACGTCTGGCGTGGGCGGGCAGTCTGCTCTCACTCTCACAATATCGATCACGTTTAAAGATCACACGAAAGCGAATCTATTACTAACAAAAATAACCTGCTCTGCCATCATGCACGCAACTGGCGCTTTATTTTCACCAGCTATATTACAACAATTTGCTGTCTCTTGAAATTACCAGAAAATACAAAAGCGCAGAGTTTTTAATGATAATAGTAGATGACAGAAGTAGTCCACGCGGGCAGGCCTAACTAGAAAGTCCCTAGGCTAGAATGAGCACACCGTAAAAACTCATCTGGTTGGCATCTGACCTGCGGGCGAGACAAGCAGCTTTCCCGCGGCGTCCAACCCGATAATGAGTCCAAATTTTCATCCCCGAGAATGAGTTCAAGAATATGCACGAAATGGCGGCATTTACACAATAAACGCTAAAAAGTTATACGCAAATAAGGTTCACAATACCTTCACGTGTCAGTCACATACGATAAGGGAGAAACTACGCTTCAACATCGTAATCTTGCAAAATGGCGCAGAATAAATTGAGTAAAAATTAAACATTCTCACGCACTTGAATTATAAACATTTTCTTCATATACGTTTCAAATTTAGCAGTGTTCCTATAGTAAGCAAAATCAGTGAATTATCGTTGTACTACCTGCGTGAGATATCTTTAATTACATTCGTTTTCATCGATTAATAATGCTTCTAGAACTGTACACACCATACACAGTACAATGATGCGTCATTCGTGAACAGCAAATAAGACGTGAATAGATCTCTTATCGCGGGAACCTTCTCAAGGTTAGTGAGAAAATGATAAATCAACAGCAACAACATCCACTTCATTCACGCGCATGAAGGAAGGAGCAATGAAGGTGACGACCTAATTGAGTCCTGACTTGAAATTAGGTATCGAGGGAACTGTCAGCTATATAGACTATAATTAGAGTAACTGATACAGCAACGCTATATGATGTCTTGCTCTCAGAAAGCATGTACAAAATATGTAACCTGCTTGAACAGGTCTCAATCAAAAACAAGATTCAATTTGGGATAAAAACACATTCATGTACAAAACAAGTAAACGAGTAGGTACCATATATAAATAAAGACCTATTACCTACCCAGAAACTTAATAGCGAAAGTACATTAATAGGCAATCTCATTTCGATGTTTTTTTTAGAAATAAGCAGTTCATCCAAAATATATACTGAACGTGAATGGCAAGGTCGTTACGGAACAACATATGCGCATACTTGGGCTTGTAACCATGTGTGGCATCCGGTACGCGTACTACATGTACTTTTCGATTGTAGCCTTACGGGGCGGAGCTGTACATATATCCAGGATCGCAGCCGTCTGCTTTATTAATGTTTTTGCTGTTGCTAGGAGCAGGGCTTTCGCTGAACTATTCCTTAGGCTTATTTGCTATAAATTGTCTCGTATATTTATTGTTCATATTCTCGTAGTCGGTTAACAGTTCTCCTATGTGAAGTAAAGTAGTTTTTTTCTCCACAGAGTACAGTAGGCTTAAATTTCCCGTTGACAACTTTCGAATTTAAAGACTAGGGCACACCTTCCACGTAAGTTCGTAGGGATTTGTAGTGGTAGCTACATTGACATTTATTATAGCCGAAAGTTATGTGATGCTTAAACATTGGTTTATTAAATACCCGCATAGATTTACAATTCGTAAAATTCCCAAATTTGTATTTTCATTTGTTCTAATGTGCGGAATTTTGTTCCGCAGTTTTACAGAAGATAAAGGAAACAAACGAAGAGTGAGCACTATTTACCTTTCCATTGTCCCTGCCTGGCATGATGAGGTGGCCTTTTGACTTCTCGCCAAGACATTATACATTAGCTGCGTTCAATCAGACGGAAATATATAGTTTCTGTGCATAATACTACTGTCGGAATACGATGCTTATATACATATCAAGATTACCTCAATATTTCCAAGGTTGTAACTGACTGACTATGCAAGTATTCCTGAGATATTTTGAATCTAATATCAGCCCTGATTAGCTGCATTTGAGTGTATCCTCTTGAAGTGTGGCATCATGGCTTCATAATATCGTGGCAAACGAGGAAGTAAATACGCGTTCCGCGCTTGCTCAAAGCTATTCAATTAATGCTCATTCTAACATTTAATCGAAGATTATTAACTCTTAACGGCTGGGCAACTGTTTATTTTAACAAAGGCAACTTTTTTCGTTTAAAAAAAATTCAAAGAGAATGATACAGAAAAAGGACACTGATAGAGAAAAGAGAATGACACAGAAAAGATTCAATTTGAGAGTTATACGAATAAGAAAATTCGGTCGCTGGATTGGCAATATGTATTTGAACTCTATATAAAATTATGAAAATCATAATGAAAACGTAAATGCCAGCTGGAGAAAACAGAGTTATAGGCCAGTGAAGCAGGAAGCTACAGAGCAGTCAAGCGAAAAGAATTTTTGAACTAGGGCCATAGGCGACAATAAAGTTACAGGCATGTATCATAGAGCTAATACTAGAAGGCATTATTAGCAAGCGTTGAAGCGGCCAACTTTCACATTGTGTTGCATTTTCTGACCGCAACCAAAAAAGTGCCTGAAGTCAAACTTAATTAGGTATACGTCTAAACACTAAACAGTAACAACACAACTACCCAGTCAAATAATCATAAACTTAACAAATATTAATTATTCAATCGAGTATAATCATCTTCTAAACATTATGGGTATCCAGGATAATTCAAGAATAAAATCAAATTGAAAGATGATAGGAAAGCTTCGCTCTATCATTATTCGTTATTTGGAATTGCAATCATTTCAAGAATCGAACAAAAACGAGTAGAATGGCAACCAACATTCGCTCGCAAGGAGTGAGGGCACTGGAGCATAATCGTGCACATAAGGAACTAAACGGCCATTGCTGATGACAAGCCCAGGGTTGAGGAACCAGAAGCGATATCGTCAAGTATTAAAATCAAGGGTAGAGTCTGTTTGAACTTGAAATAAAAAGTTAATTTCTCGCATGGCAGTCAAACAGAGGTTAAGTCACTGATGTTGGTTTCCAACCCACGAGATAAATACAGTGAAATTGATTCCGAAAACTACTATCATTTAGTCATTTAATGGGAAGTCAAATAAATAAGCCTCGTGATGTCGGGTTCATAAGAGAGGGCATTTTGGTCAAGCGAAGTCAGTTCAATGGCGTGTGAGTAACACATTAGCCACGAACAATTGAACGTCTTTTAAATTAGTTGCATGAAAACGTGCAAGTTCATTGCAAAGGGCATGTGAATGGCCCGGAAGGTCATGACGCAAGCACATGCTTGCCATTATGTAGAAGAGCCAAAGAAAAAGAAAAAAGTTCGTCTACACTCGGTGTAGCAGGCTTCGTCTACACTCGGTGTAGCAGGCTTCGTCTACACTCGGTGTAGCAGGCTTCGTCTACACTCGCGTAAGAAGCTCATTCATCTTCAAATCTCTTATCAGTTGTACAGGCTGAGCAGACTTACTGTACCATTGCGCAGCACAGCAATGCACTCCAATCGTGCAGCGAACAAATAATGAATTTTTATGAATATCAGTGAGAACGCTTCTCTGATAACATCGCATTAGTCATTTAGAGACGAGCAACGAGATATGTGCAGTTTATCTCTGCATATATTGTATAAATGCCTTTAGTGTGCTATGATCTCGGTCAAACTCTCAACTATATACATTTATAATTCATCACACTACCAGCATGCACGACCATGCATGTAAATGGAATGTAAATGCAAACATTAAACAGCATGTCCAAATATCAATACCATGCAGAGGCGTACATTATTGTATGCGTCTGCGTGTGTGTATCATACGTGTTAGTATGTCTCATATACAAACGTCTCTCAATTAAAGGTTATAGTAGATAGATATGGTCAAAACTTGAATACTGATAAACATAAAGGAGATAATTCCAGCGTATTGAATTAAGAATAATATACCTGCTCCTCTAACTGATTAGAAAATATGTTCTGAAATATGGTGCATGCGTTGAAGCAATGGTTAAATATTTACAACGTACTTCTGATTAAATTGGAAGAAAATTTCACTAACTCTTTATCTGACCTCACACTGCTAAACTTATCGGTCCACTGCTCGGTCCTGTTATCTGCTTCCAGTGACATTATCGCTTCAGTCGCAGCCACAAAACCAAAGTGGACAAAATACCCGCGAAGTAAGTCGATCAGAGCGTCTCACGCGATTCAGATCTTGTTCGACAATGCAGGGCAATTAAGTTATTTTGGTGCATTGAAGCCAGTATAAAGCTACGAATGAGGCATAATAAGTTATTTTTCAGTGTTTCACATTTGTTGCGGAGTTAGAGACCTCTGCAATTTTCTTCGTTTTCGGGCACTTGCCTCGTCAAACAGTTTTGACACTCGTCTTATCGAGCAGGTAGACACTCGTTTAACAGGTAGCTGATAAACTGGTTTTAACGAGCAAGTAATATCATGCGAGTTGAAACAATTACAAATATGATGATTGAGTGCGCACCTGTTTCGACAGCGTTACGGACAATGGTAACAGAGTTCACATATACTTCAATATTTAACTGATTGAGTGCGCACCTGTTTTGACAGCGTTACGGACAATGGTAACAGAGTTCACATATACTCCAATATTTAAATGATTGAGTGCGCACCTGTTTTGACGGCATCTAAGACGGTGTCGCCGGAGTTGTCGCAGAGGAAGATCTTAGCAGTGGTGGAGATGCCCCTAGCGGAGTTATGAAGCAGCGGCTCACGGCGCCCCTGCACCACGACCACGTCACCGAGCTCCTCCTGCTTCTCCCACTGGTTCAGGGCAGACTTCACGCACCCCTTCAGCTGTTACGGGGATTAAATAAAACCGTTATTAATGCCAATAATGAACCTAATAAATGTGGAAACAGTTGCACTCCGAGCCAACAAATAAAAAGAAAAACATTCTAAACAACCTGGATAAAGGAACTCAACATAAGGTAATTTATCACGTAAAGGAAAAACGTTTGTTGAATCTATACGAGAAGCATTAGTTTCAACATGTCATTCAGGTGATACTTGATTTGTTTCATTCATTGTGCAGGCAATGTCACGTACATAACGGCAAGCCATTTTTAGATTCTAGTGGAGTTGGTCAAAAAATTATCGGTTAGATTTTCTTAACAATAGCAAGCATTTGGATCATCAATCCCTATGCTGAAATTAATCAACTTACTAAGCAGTTGAATAAAAAATGCAAATTAGCGACCGAGGATCGAGGCACTGAAAGAGCGGAAGACACTTCGACTCGATAGCGAACGAGACAAAAAATCGACCAAAATGCACTCACAATTTCGGGTTCAGAATTGCGTTAGCTCCTACCTACATCCATTGCTTCATAAATCAGAAGGACTTGTTAATTATAGAGTTCGAGCAAAAGCGGCCTGCCAGAGGCAACGTTCATGGAAGTACAAAATTATTCTTATTATTTATTGGCCCCCAAGTTGGTAGTGGACAAAAACGAGGCATGCACAGAGAACAGAAGAAAAAAATATATAAATGATAACAGCGCCAGAAAAAAATCGATCCCAATACTTAAAAAATAATTCCGAGCTCATAACTCGATCGTATAAAATCGTATAAAAAATTATCCGATGATTGTGCCGGATATATGATATGCATGAGGCAACGCGACCCTGACTGCGGGTCTGCTGCGTTTTCATGGTAAAGATACACGTCAGCAAGATATTACACGTCAGCAAGATATTACACGTCAGCAAGATATGACACGTCAGCAAGATATGACACGTCAGCAAGATATGACACGTCAGCAAGATATTACACGTCAGCAAGATGTTACACGTCAGCAGGATGTTACACGTCAGCAAGATATGACACGTCAGCAAGATATGACACGTCAGCAAGATATTACACGTCAGCAAGATGTTCACGTCAGCAAGATGTTACACGTCAGCAAGATATTACACGTCAGCAAGTGATGAGATGAGGTTTCCGAGCAAGGCCATATTTAGCACGGGATGTAACATATATGCTCACATTTGCTCTAAGGGAGATCAGCACAACATATTCATCCTCATGTGCTCTGAGCACAAGGAGTGTGCTTATGCCGGCGTTCGGTTTCAAGACTATGCCGCGTGCAGGTCCCTGCGAGACTCTGCAGTTACTACTGTGCGCATAACATGACTTCATAAAAGGAGCGGTGCATTCTGAGCAGCATCTAAATAATCGATTTCTTATTTGTGAGTTAAATATTATAAAAAATATGCTGATACAGCTAAATTAATTTTATGTTATAATTATTTTCACATATTTTAAACAAGGGGTTTCTACCAGGTTCTCAGCTCATTTTGCAGCAAGCCGAAATACATTTACAAGTATCATGTATGCAAGTTTATATTTACATGATATGAACATAACGATCAACGAACCAGCATCTTGAGCATTTACTAGTAAAATAAAATGAACACCGCGGATCCTCAATTCGATCAAGCAAAATAACAACAGAAATACAACAACAACTGATAGAATAAAACTCTTTATTACAAAAACACGGAAATCAAGAACCTTGCCATGAAAAATAATATTTAGAAAAATCGGGACGACGTCGCACAATAATATTTAAATGTCCCTCGGAAACCTCATATTCGAATTTTCAAATCTTACCAAAGTCTAATTGGCCTAATAGAAAAAAAGCAATAAAAAATGGTTAACATGAAATGCTCTCTGGTCCTTAACGAAAGGTGAATTAAAGAATAACTTTTGCCTAAATATACCAACATAAATATATTAATACGGCTGTATAGGTGACACGTCCGCCTTGGTGTGAGGCCAATCCTCGTTATCCCCCGACCCTTGTTTCAACCTTATCTTATTAACGGAAGCCATGACTTGTGCATGGTTGCCATGTCAACTATTCCTGTAAGATAGCTGCGTTGACGGAAGACGAATGCTTTTGAATGTTTTGGTATTCTTTTATATAAAGTTTAATACATGATAAAATTAGACCAAATTGTACTAACCTATATTTACGGAACGCTAAGCGTCTTGAGGTTGAAGCCGGCATATAATGGGATATATCTATAGCGCTTTACACCGTACTATTGTTACTTGCAAGGAGCACATTAAGAGCTGGTCATTTATACAGAATAATTTAGGCAGATCTACGTACTTGACACGTAAAATATTATCCATACAACCTCTCACATTAGGGTTGGCGTAACATTTCGGTAGCAATAGCACTGTAACTTAGATTGTAATTAACTTGTAGGAACAAGCAAAAGACTTGCTTGAAATAAAATGCGTGGTAACAGTGCCCCGGGAAGATAGGCTTGTCGCATGCCAATCGAAAGCTTCCATGTCAAGATAACTTCTCACGAGCGGTCGCTCATTAATCGGGCTCGTTCTGTGCCGTTGCTGAGTGGCCGGCTTGAAAACCGGTACCATCCGGTTATGTTAAAGCGTTGTTAGTGGTAGTATCAGGACAAGAGTGTTTGCTTTGCCATTAAGGTCAAAGTAAGCACATGCAAACGCTTGGCCTCAAATGTAGACGAATAAAACGCAGGATGTACGATATACTTTTAACTGTCGCATGTCCTGTGTCGGTCACCAAAGATGGGATGACGAGGAATCGTTAGCCATTTGCGTTGCTTTACCTCCGCCAGTAGATTATCCTTGATATTATGATTTAGATAACATATTGATCACAATTTATCCCGAATAGAAAAGCGTACCAGCTAGACAAATAATATATTTAATAAAGTTTGAAAACATTGCAAAACCTATTTGTAATGGATCTTGAGAGAATGATGCAATTTGAGGAGATAACACTCGTAGATAATGAACCTAATGTCCATCATCTTAGATGATGGTCCTAATATTTCTCATCATTCCGGTTCAATGTGTCCAGCCATGCATGTACCACATGCCTAAAATAAAAATACCTACCGTCATGCGCGAACATGTCTTAACAATTCAGGATTTATTTAATGGATGTCTAGTAACCTTTTTTTGCACTTCACTTCACTGCACATTTTTGCAAAGCCAAATACAAATCACAATATCATACTTAGTGAATTATAATTTCATATAAATCGCATATTTTCTTTGATTTTGCATGACCAAGCATGGTCGTAACTGAGCCGTTCAAGACGTGTTCTAGCACTACGGCTTGGTGACACTTTCAATTCAAAAGGCAAAGGCTTCTCGTTGGTTTGTTCGCTGCTTTAAAGCTAGGTATTATTATTATTATCATCTTTTATAGTAATCGAGTAGCAATTGGAGGTCCCGTAATCACCGCGTACCACCGCATATACTTACTACTGTGCACCAGCCGCTAATATTTAGCAATAGTTCTATTTTATCTCGCCCAACACACCAGCAATTAGCGATGCAAGTAAATGTACCAGTGGTCCACAAGGACAACGTGGGTGGCACGCGGCATCACTCCACACCTCCTGCTAACTATACACCAACACCTTCACTATACCACCTCCACACCCACAACAAACACCCACTCACAACAGTTGTGGTTATCTAACTACAAAATCCTTCATGACTCCCAAAGAGACACATGCGAGTACCACTAGTGTTGTTAGTGGTACTCGCAGATTACCACTAACATGCGAGTACCACTAGTGTTATACCACTAGTGTTATACGTACGAAGATCTTGAAAGCATTGTTTTAAAGGATAACAGCCATCAATCTCGACCCGCTAGAGACAGATATCCATTCTAAAAACCAAGCTTTCTCCTACCATAATAAATAGAAATCTATCGGAAAAACCACGCACTTAATTCTTTAAATAACAACAACGCCGGGTACTAACAAGAAAACATTTTATCCCCGTTTTGAACGTGGGAGGAATTTTTTTCGGAACTGTTTACATGTTTTGAAATGAAAAGAAAATTTCATTTTGTATTTCAGTTTGTATATGCGATTCAAACACAATAAATAAAATCACAGCTAAAAATTATCCCTGAGACATGATAGGTATATCGCAGATACGCGATCGATACTCCAGGCTTGAGAAAGAGAAAGAAGCACAAAAAAATAACGACACCACATTCTTGGATCTAGTAACGATGAATATTAATAACTCGAGGAATTCAAGTTCGACATTCTTGCGCTTGTTCGCTCGGATAGACTGGCCAATGGAATTAGGTAGGATAGTTTCATGGGCACTACTATCAGTATGAAAACCAGCTGTCTTCATACAAGTTTGTGTCAAACTTGTTTTTCATACAAGTTTGATTGTAGCCTCGAAATATGTTACCTGAAATCATTTGTTGATTGATTTTCGGGATAATATTTCTTAAATGTACCAACATCGATTATTTTCTGCAACGAAACTTGCCAATTTTTCACTAAATAAAAGAAAAAATGGGAACTTTAGAAAAGTTAATTTAGTTTATGTTTAAATACTTAATTCGAGTTAACTTAGGAAAGATTTGATGAATTTAAATCATTCAACTTATTTGATGAATTTAAATCATTTAACTGCAAAAGCAAACGATAATCGACTATATCTTGTAATGCTGCATAGGAATTGAAAAAAAGTCGGAACGCCATAATGTTAAATTAAAAATCTAGACCGGTGTAAAGCATGGAGCCAATGAGCAGACTGCATGCTGAGCCACAGTCAGCACATTTCCTATTGCACCACATCATGGCACATGGCCATGCTCACCCAGTGGCCGTCCCTTGTTATGAAACACGAACAGACATGACAAATAATCAGCAAAATGTATAAACTACTGTATATTAGTACAATAATATACGGACTTGAACTTAAGTATTAAAATCATACGTTAGCGACAGATCTCTTCGTTAGTGAAACAGTATAGCATAATCAGCACAAACAGTAAAATTAAAATAATTTTAAGAAATCAAGATTAGTTACAAATGAAAAATATGAAAAAATATAAAAGAGAATCATCATAAGAAATTTTCGCGAGATTTAATTATTAAACAACGTTTTGGGTATTAACTTACCACAGGCCAAAACGTTCACATTTTTGTACCGTAGAGTTAGGTCATCGGCTTGCGACTAAAAGGATATTAGATCACCTGTAATGAACCGCTCGATGTCGTTTACTCGATTGTTGCTCAAACATGTCACGTTAACAGTTAAGAAAAATCGCTTCTGAATGATGCGCCACAATAAAACAAGTAGGTAGCTACCTAGTGATTTCATGTAGGTATAGCAAAAGAAGAATAATTTTGTTATGAACGACTAAGTTTAGGCGTTTCTTGCTAAATTTACATGGTGTAAGTAAGAATTTATCCCACCTCCTCAGATGAAGATTGCCCGACCAAACGTATTTGGTCTTCCATGTCAATTATATTTCCAGTTTGCACGATGATTCGGCGCGAATAGACTGCCATTTTGAAAATTAAGAGCACGATGTACCGACCTCACTCCGGCAATTGCACGCTCAGACTGCCGAGTGCCGATGACGATGAGTGAGTTCTCATGTGTTGATTCGCCACACAAAAACACCAAATCCTGCCTACGGTAGAGTAGACGAAACGTTCGAGGCAGCGTTCTCCCGATTTATGTGGACAACAAATCATAGCCTCCATCTGGTGCATTCGAGTTTGAATTGTTCTTTTATAATAAACTTCATAAGTTTTGAAGATTTTGTTGTCATCGTTCTATTTATTTACTTTTAAATTTCTTGGCAAACTGCGGCATTATGGCTTTAGCCTAATTTATGCAGAAAACCTATATAAAGCAGCATGCTTTTCACGTATAATTTATATGTTACTTGTTTTTGTTGTTGATTCATTCTTATTTAGAAATCTTATATGTTACCGAACGAATACCGTCTAATCACTCGAATGTAGCAATGACTGAGGCTGAGTCGTGACTCGTGTGAGTCGTGAGTCGCAGAGATGCCGCTTGTAACTTGCCGGAGTCGCTGCTAGCATTGAATGCTATATATAATATTAGTACCTATATAATAATAATGCTAATCAAAACCATGTTTTTAGGGTTTATTCGTAAAAAATTACTTTTGAGCTTGTTCAAACCAAGTAGAAACTTTTGGTTTACTTTTCTTTATGAGATGTGCCATTTCTTATGAAGTTTCTTACCATCATGATGAGACCGGTGTGTGCTTAGGTAGGTAGGTAGCCTAGCTACTATGGCGACTTGGATGACATTTATTAATTTAATCACTCACTCTCACCGGATTAACGTTGGCTTCAAATTTGAGATGATTCTTAGTGCAAAACCTCTCCCATCTTTTAATTTTAATTGAATTGAATGAAAATTTTTATAAAGAGCTTAGCTAAATGAACTTGTGTAGGTAATAACTGTAATGATAATAGATTTTTTCTGTGATTGCATCCTCATTGGACCTCAGTGAGGCTCAGTCTGAGTCAGTCAGTCCTCACTCACTAGTACTCATAGTGGCAGTTTGGTAAACCAGTGATTTTTAGAATCGGTTCATTTTTAATTTTCTCATTTACTCAAGATTTAAACAAATGTCTTACATATGATGATGCTATTATGCTGGTATCCATGATACTTTGCTCAGTTTGCTGGTCTAGGTACTTAGGACTTAGGAGTTAGGCCTATGCTAGCCTTACTAGGACAGTACCTAGTCTGGGACTTGAAGCCTAGTCAGTAGGACTTGAAAAGTTGAAATTGAACTTGAAGTTGAAGGAGAGTCTAAAAACTCTCTGCTTTGCTACTACTGTCTCCTCAGTCACCTCATATCATTTAGGTATCCTGAATCCTGATTATCCAGCTAATGAGCTAACAGGGTCTTTAAAATTCTTCTGTTTTGTTTGAACTACCTCACCTTAACTTCTGCTTGGGAGTGAGTTGGGAGTTGGGACAGTTTTGTTAAGGTCAATGTCAAATTGTCAATGAGTGAGTATTTGGTGCAAATTGGAGGAATTAATGAAATAGGCTAGTTGTTCATATATTCCAAATAAATCCAACCTGTTTAATTTGTTCAAATCTAATTTGCAAAAAAGTCTAATTTCATGGTTTTTATTCAATATGATAATTGATATGTGATAACTGACAAGTGTTATGAACCAAACCCTTTTGAAGTTTTTGTACCCACATATCAAAATCTCAGACTCTCAGTCACTGAGTCAGTGTCTGTGTGATTGTTTCACACTGTCAGTCTGTCACAGCTCACAGCACAGACAACTGAGACAAGTGGCAAAGCAGAGGCCAGAGAGTTTTTTAGCCTTTAAGCTATCCCTCAAGGCTCAAGTTCATTTTGAGTCCTATAAGTAGACCAGAAAGGTATTATGAATACCAGCAATAATAGTCCAGCAAGACCAGCATCAATCTTTGGTACATATTACATAAGAAGTTGGTTTAAATCTTGAGTAAATCAGGACTCAGGTACTACTAATTAGAAATGAAATGATTAAAAAAATCTTTGGTTTGTCACTATGATTACTAGGTATGCACATGCAGAGTCATAGTGTCATACTGTCATAAGTGCCATTTGTACTATGAGTGACTTTGTGAAGGATGAGACATCAGACATCCAAGAAACCAATTGCAAAAATAACACAATAACAAAACCTGCTTTATTTGGCAAGGGATTCTATAAAAGCAAACCCAACACACACTAACCCTCTTGGCTCTTGAGTTGGACAAAATAAATATCAAAATTGTAAAATTCTATTTAACTGGTCTTGTATCGTCAATGTCATGTATTAGAATGCCATTTAATTATTAAGTTTTATTAATAATAGGATAGGAGATGATTCATCTGTTGGTCCTTCAAAGCAGCTTAAGTCAATACTTAGCATTTACTGCATTTACATAGTGGCTCATCACTAAAAACAGCACTGTATAATACTAGTCAGATTCCGAACTTCATTTATACTTCCTAACTTCAGTTTCATTATAATACCTACATATTTTGATACTTGTTCACATGTCAAGACTTATTCTCATAAACAAAATTGAATTTCTTCCAGAGATGCCATGAATAGTTCTTGTGTGCAGGCCTCAAAAGTTTTCCATCATTGGTCGTCATCGAGATCGTGTGTTGAGTGTGAGATTCGTCCACACTCGACGATGGTGCTGTGGACTGTTGGCTGGCATCCTGTTAGGTGCCATATTTGCACTACTTATTATTGATCATCTTGATGGTAAGGAATACAATATTTTACAATATGACAGCTGATGTCTTTGCACTGTTGATCATGAAAATAGAAAAAACATAATCAGTATAAATTTGATAAAAGCTAAACACTTGAATACTACAACTGATAGCAGCTCATGATAAGCAAGCATCATAGCTTGAGTTTACATGCCAGTTTTCTGGTTGTATAGTTATACACAGTTTGCATAAACCTTTTCATCCCATTAGAATGATGAACTGATATATATATACCCTGCCAGTCTCATTTTCCCTGCTTCTCTTTACCAAGTATCCTCAAAATGTTATGATAATAATCAATAGGTTACTTTTTTCCATCATCCTTGACAATTTAAAATTGATTTTCTTTCCAGAAAATTGTCTCATAGTTCCTTTTTCTCTATCATTGAAATTTTCTCAAATTTCAGGTTATCATGACCCAAGTAGTTTGCTTGGATTCAGTCCAAGGGAAGTGAGACTCGTAGGGCGCTTGAGGGAAAGTGAGCAGCAGGTGCAGCTGCTGCGCAAGCATCTCTTGGTCTCTCAGTCTGAGCTTTTAAATGCATGGAGCACATCTGCAAGGTAATGTACATTCATTTATGAAAATTTCTTAGCACATCATTTGAAGATTTTTCTTTTCTAGATTTTTAACCTGCTATGCATTGATTTAATAAAAATTCACATAACCAATAACTATACCTATACATAGCTTTAGGCTTGAGGCAAATTTTTTTCATACACATGAATAAGTTTTGAACATGAGATTTTACTGCTTGTGGAAATTTCTATGATATCAGTCTATCATATCATTTAAAAAAAAAGTTATGTATCAAACAAAATTAAATTTATTTATAAATTTACATTTTTTGAATGAGGCATTTGATGAGAACTCAAAATTAAAACTAATCCCAATTTAGCCGATCAATATTTTCTGACTTGGAAGGAAATCTGGGGGTGTTTTGCCTCATCTTTTTTCATGTGTTGAACACATTCTGTAATGAAATATCTCTACATTTAAGGGAGCAACAAGACGATGATGTGAGTGCTGCAGTCTTGGAAGAAGCTTCTTCTTTTGATGTGACGAGTGATACATTGAGAACCAAACTTCATCCTAATGGAGGCAAAGGAAGAAGAAGAAATAATTTGGATGCCCTGGGTGTCCCTTGCAAAGATAATGTATTACTTTTCCCATTCTGTGTGTTTTTTTTAGATCTTATTTATGCCAGATTTCACTGATTTGTACAATATCAATTGTACACCTGTTGTAGTGACTTTACAAATGCTCAAGCTTAGAGCTGAGTTTGATGGTATATCCTTCAAGTATTTCCATACCAGACACGATGGTATATACTTCAATTTGCTCCATACCAGACACGATGGTATATCCTTCAATTTTTTCCATACCAGACACGATGGTATATACTTCAATCTGTTCCATACCAGACATGATGGTATATACTTCAATTTGTTCCATACCAGACATGATGGTATATACTTCAATTTGTTCCAAACCAGACGTGATGTTATATACTTCAATTTGTTCCATACCAGACATGATTGTATATACTTCAATTTGTTCTGTACCAGACACGGTTGTATATACTTCAATGTGTTCCATACCAGACACTTATGAGACTTATTTTTATAACTCATTATGTAATTTAGTAAATATTCAAGGATGAGGTGATGAAGAAAATGTTTTGTTGTGTTCAAGTTAACTGATTGAATAAATTGAATGAAATCTGGCAACTTTTATGATGTTATGTTTTTGTGAAATTTCTCATTAAATTCATTTCTAAATGTTTATTTGGCTTTAAGAATTATATACCTAAGTGATAACTGATTAGCTAAAACTTTGTTTTAAATTTGCAGAAAGGAATTGTAAGCAAGTGCAAAGTCCTTCACATAGCAATTGTGTGTGCTGGATACAACTCATCACGCTCAGTGGTGACTCTGCTGAAAAGTGTGCTCTTCTTCCGCCGAAATCCCCTGCACTTTCACTTCATTGTTGACGATAAAGCACGTGTTGTGCTGCACACTCTGCTATCATCCTGGAATATTCCTCACGGTAGCTGTATAACTAATTATATTCAAGTTATTATAAGTAATCATTGAACTCAAGCTTAAATAGGGCTTTATATCCTCAAAAATGCATTTACCTTTTGCTACAACTGCAGTGTAACTAAATCTTGTAAGTGGAGACAAAATCATTATTCCATCAGTTGAACATTTTTTATTATATTTTGCACCTAGAATTCTGACAACAAAAGTAGTCCAATATCATGTGGCTAACTCATTTTTACTGTGTATTAGATTATACATGTGCTTTTGAAGAATGATGACGAAATTATCTATTCTGAAAACAGTACTCCTTTTCAGTGTCAGTGAGTTTCCACGACATCGTCCCCCTAACGGACCTCATATCCTGGGTACCCAACAAGCACTACTCTGCGCTGTATGGCCTTGTTAAGCTCACTCTCAACAAAGCTTTGCCGCGGTCCCTGGATAAGGTCATTGTTCTTGATACGGACATCACTGTTGCCACGGATATTGCTCAACTTTGGAGCTACTTTGCCAAGCTCAAGCCGCAACAGGTCTGTTGTGCCTCATTTAGAACCCGCATTAATTTTCTTTGCAGTGAGCATTACCATGCTCATTGCAAAGAAATTGCTTTGAACCCCCTTTTCTCTAGCAATGAACATTCCCATTGATATTTATCCTTATTCAATCTGTGAATATTGTCAACCAGCTATTCTTAAACCATACAACCATTGCAAATATTGAAAGGGATTTATTTAAAAATAATATACAGTTTTCAGGTCGGTCACTCGTAAGTCATCATTCCGGGAATTTTGCAATGATGTCAATAGGTATTAAACTTCATGTAACTCCTATTATGTAACTATTAAACTTCATGGTTGTTTTTTTTTTTTTGTCATTTAGAACTAAACTGCATACCCAACTTAGATATTGTTTTATTTGATGACATGGCAGTTTAACTGAGGGTTTTTATCAGCTGTTTGGTCTGGGGGAGAATCAGAGCGACTGGTATCTTGGCAAGCTGTGGAAGTCACACCGACCATGGCCTGCTGTTGGAAGAGGGTGAGCTTAAATCTTATTTAGGTCTTCATCCTTAAAGCCAACAACATTTTCTATGTATTCCATTTTGATATCTGTTAAACCTGTTTTTTTTATTCTTGCCAGATAAATACAAATCCTCATAAACGAGTTCAATTATTTTTGTGTGCTATAGTAGTTTTTAATCAAAAATTATTTGCAAAATGAACAATTATTTCAATATACCTATCTATAATGTGCTTTAAATCGTGCATAGAATGAAAAAATGACTTGAATATTTAGAGTTACTCTATAGACTGCCTCCTTATGTGCCAAGGATATGATTACATCAGGTGATACAGGTACAAAACGCATGTGATGTTAGTGCCATAAAATGATGCATTGAGAGGTAGTACCATACTCACCATATTGCAGTGATACAGGTACAACACTGGCGTGATGTACCTGCAGTGATGCATAGAGAGGTAGTACCATACTCATCATATTGCAGGTACAACACTGGCGTGATGCTGGTGCGGCTAGGGGCGCTGCGGGCCAGCAACTGGACGCAGATGTGGCGGCTGGCAGCGGAGCGTCACCTCACTACGCTGCTCGCCACGCAGCTTGCTGACCAGGATATTATCAACGCCGTAATCAAGGTTTATGCTTCAATATCTTACTGTTTTTCACCAATGCAGTGGAAATAGTTATATACTGAATTAGTTTTTTTATATCTGCTCCTTATTTATTTGATACAAGTAATTTTTGGATTCTAGATTCATCTTTTTAATCTGTTTATTCTCCTGTTTTTTTTCGCTTAATCACTTGTTTGTGCATTGCAAACTTCTGATGTGAATTTCTTTTGTAAATTAAGTACGGTATGGTTGAAGCATTTACTGTATATTCGTCAAAGATTTAACGCTTCCTTTCAAGATGTGATGTATAGATTAGAAAAACGTTGGGCTGCAGTATCAGAGAAATTGAAGTCTGATTTAGACAAACGATTTCTTACGTCTAATGGCCATTATTTTTCAACAGGTAATCTCTCTTTATACCATCTGCCGACGTCTGTAATGCCTAATTTTGCTTTATTTAGTTGGGACAGATTATATATTACATGACTTTGTGTGAAATCTCTTGCACCCTGCCATCGCTCAACTCTGTTTATTAAAATTGTTATTAGGAGCATCCTGAAATAGCGTACAAGTTGCCGTGCCAGTGGAACGTTCAGCTGTCGGACAACACGCGCTCGGAGACCTGCTATCTCGAGGTCGCCGATATCAAAGTTAGTGATCATTTCTACCTGACTGATATTTAAGTCCGTTTACCAGTTCCCTCTGTCTTAATCGTTTCTATTTTTCTGTTGAGATTCTACTAAGTTTTATAACATCTGAATTTTCTATCATGTATTTTTTATCAAACAATTCTGTATTCATGATTCATTTTTCAGTAACTTCACATTTATTATCAATACTAATCAAACAAGTGTTTCATGGCTTGATATATATGATATTTCGAGAAGTCAAGCACCATTGGCAAATGAAGTCCCGTTTTTTTTTCTTGCTTGCTCAAAGTGCAATTTGAAGCGTAACTATCAATGCCTGTCATGCATGTTTTTGATTTGCTGCTTGTTACTGATTTGCGGCATGTTACTGATTTGCTGCTTGTTGCTTACTTGATCTTGTTACTGATTTGCTGCTTGTTACTGATTCGCTGCTTGTTACTGATTTGCTGCTTGTTTGCTCACTGCTGCTGCAGGCTATCCACTGGAACTCTCCGCAGAAGCTCAAAGTTCGCAACAAACACATCGAGTTTTTCCGGAGCCTGCATCTGACCTTCCTCGAGTATGACGGCAACCTCTTGAGGCGGGAGCTATTCGGCTGCAACGCCACCGCCGGCAAGGCCTCACAATTGCAAGTTCAGGTGGCCTATTTTATCTTTACAGATATAATGAATTTTTGGCTTTACAACATTCTTGGGACTAGTTAGTGAATATTTTCAGCTCTGATGCATTTTTTCAGCTGAGCGAAGACGACGACGAATGCTACGAGTTTCACCGCGCACGCCGCACCAACTATCGCACGCATATCTTCTTCGTTGCGCCGCGTACGCCTGATCCGGCAGCGCTGCCTCCTGCGTCGTCTCGACGGAGTCATGGCGGCAGTGATGGCCGTGCTCGCGAAGATGCAGGGCACGGCCGTGGCATGATAAATGGTTTCGGGGACCTCGATGGTAACGTTGGACGTGGCATCGGCGACGACGACGGTAAAGATCGACGTGACAGTAGCATTCACGACGGCAAAGATGGCCTTGACATCGGCGACCACGACAGCCAGGATGAGCATGGCGGCGGTGAAGGAGAAAATGATGCGCCACAGCAGACTGTGGACGTGACGCTCGTGGCGACTTTGTCCATGGATAGACTGCAGATGGTAGAGCAGCTGCTGATGCATTGGGCTGGTAAGTTTAGTGTATACACACTGAACATAATTTTCATAAATAAATTGTCTCTATCAATAGACACACAGTTGAAATTGTATTCCGAATTTTTGCATTTATTTCAATTTGTTGAAAGATTTGTAGCCCTCTCAAGGCTCCTGCTGTTACCTACCGCTGTTAACCAAACGTATCACAAGGAGTTGTGCTGAGAAAAACTGCAATGTCAATATTCAGAACAACCATGTCACAACCAAGTGTTGGAAAATCTAAAATAGATGGCTTATTACGTATATAAAAAAACTCATTGCACACAACACATGGTTAGGAGCTGAGTGCCCGTGTGGCGCGGAAGTGATGATGCAGATCCTATGTGCAGGTCCCGCGAGCCTGACGCTGTATTTATCAGACGCGGAGGCGCAGCAGTTCCTGGCCTACACTCAGACTTCGGAAATTATCGCTGGGCGCTCCAACGTCGCATACCACGTCGTCTATAAAGAAGGAGTGAGGCTCTCGTGTGCTAATTTTCTTTTTAAATAATATCGTCCTAGTTTTAGGTACCATCAACAGAATAGGTAGTTATGTCTTTACCAAAGCAGTGCATCTTCTGCTGTGAGTTTGATGCACTTATTTTTTGTGTTAAAGTATATTGTGATTACCCAATTTGGAGTTGGAGGTAGCGGCCCGTGGAGGTAGCGGCTTTCCTAGCCACCCTCCCTGCCTTCGCCCGCCTCCCACCTCTTCCGGTTCCGGCCCCCCGCCCGCCACCAGAGCCTCCCCCCCCCCCGGCGTGCGTGACGGTCGAAACCAACAACAACAACAACCCAATTTGGGTCTGGGCCTCAAGTTGTTTCATACGAATGCAGTTTTACAGCCAAACTGCTACTCAGGCCTACAAGTGAACTCTCTAGAAATAATCCAGGCCTTTCCCTGTTGAAGGTATCCTTAATATCTTTTGTATGGACAGAACTTCTACCCGGTGAACTTCCTCCGGAACGTGGCAATGCAGCAGGTGGAGACGCCCTTTGTGTTCCTCACCGACATCGACTTCCTGCCCATGTTTGATCTGCACGCACACCTCGGCCGTTCCCTGGCCGCTCTACAGGCCACGCAAGGCTTCCACAAAACGGTGTGTCTTGGCAGTGTTTCTCACTGGCAAATACTAACATTATAAATATATTATGGCTATACTGGGAACTTGCAGCTTCGAAAAAGGTTCATAAATAATTGTTCCCTTTTGAAATCTATATAAAATATTTTTTTCTGGTTCGAATCTATTGCAATGTACATTTCTGCATACCGTAGGTATATACTGAGTTGTTCAGGTTCAACAACCACATGAGACATCTTGTTGATATTTTTTTGATAAATTAACTGATACTTTAATTCGCGGTGATATACTTGAACTGATGTTTACTGTTTTTTGAAACATGTTCTAACTATCCAAATTATTTTTGGAGGAAAGGGTTGATTTTCAACAAGGCTTCATAATTTCAGTAAAACTAGCTGTTGATTTTGTTGTATTGTGAGTGACGGGAAAACTGGTATTGTTCAGGCATACGTAGTGCCGGCTTTTGAGACGCAACGCTACCGCCTCACCTTCCCCCGTAGTAAAGCCGAACTACTCCACGGACTGGATATGGGGGAGCTCTTCACCTTCAGGTGTGTGGTGTGGGGAGAGCTCTTCACCTTCAGGTGTGTGGTGTGGGGAGCTTTTCACCTTCAGGTGTGTGGTGTGGGGAGCTTTTCACCTTCAGGTGTGTGGTGTGGGGAGCTCTTCACCTCCAGGTGTGTGGTGTGGGGAGCTCTTCACCTTCAGGAGAGTGTGTGGTGTGTGGGAAATTGTCACGGCTGGGCCCTTTCACCTAATTTCATTACCTATATGCATTTGAACATAAGCTTTGTACATTATATCTTATACGAAAAATTGCATTACAAAAACATAATGTATAAAACCACTTCCATTTAAGTTTATTGCTGGCATTATAAAAGGTTTCCTTTTTCTTGTATCTATAATAAAATAGTGCGATTGCTTATAACTCGATACTAGCTCACAATGCTTCTTTTTTATTAGCGTTATTTCTTATAAGCTGATTGCCCTACAAACGTATCATCCGTGGTAATATTTTGATCTGAGTATATATCTATATATATCATGTGTGTTCCTCGCCAGGTCATAACGCAATAAAGGGGGGACATTTGTTATTATTTCTGTAAGCAAAGCAATAGTTTTAATGTCTGCAAAGGAGATAATAAAGTTGTTGGTGCCCAGGTACCACATCTGGACCAAAGGTCACGCGCCTACCAACTTCGCCAAGTGGAGAACCGCCACAACGCCGTACCGGGTGAGCTGGCCTCACGTTCCCCTTACAACGTCGGCTCTGTTGCCGACATCGAAATTTATATTTTGTAATTAATATAATTATGCCGGAATTAGACTAATCCTAGCGTTAATATCTGCTTTTAAAACGTTTATGCAAAAGCCATCTAAAAATCCATGTGATGTTAATTGTCCGTGTTCTGTAGAGTCTGTATGTATTTTTATTCATTCTATTTCTGTTGTACCATTTGTTTATTATTTATTGCGTTTTATCGCTATTATTAAATCGATAGATATGAAGCCTTTCACCACTATCTCATGATTTTAGTCAGTGAGATATGAGCGTCGCATAATGTTACACATGAAATTTTATATTCTGTTACTAATAATTCTTTGCTTCATTAAAGGTACAATGGGAAGAGGACTTCGAGCCGTACATCGTAGTGCACAAGGACGTTCCACTGTACGACACTCGCTTCGTGGGATTTGGTTGGAATAAAGTATGTTTTTACCACGTTTTTCTTGGCTCGCTTTCGTGTCCGTCTGTCTGTCTGTTTGTGATGATCAAATCTTGCAATCGATATTTCACCAACTTTCCCGCTAGCTAGCGCTCTGAAACTTTTAGGGAAGCTCAGCTCCCGATGACAATACAATAATCAATAATTTGTTGCACGTTTCCAGGCGTATTTATTCAATGAAATGTCGACCGAGAAATTGTGGACGCAATACGGGAACAACAATGTATCCCCTCGAATACATTTTTCTACAGAACTTCGAAAAGAATTTTCTTTCGTGCATTTGCGTGGCAAACTGAAATAAAATGAATATTATGTAGGATGGCTGACCTTTGTGCTGTAGTTATAAACTCTAAAACTCACAAGCAGGGGTTGGGAACCTTTAATGCACGTCATCCTCGAGAGGATATTTGTGTTTAGACTGCGTATATCGATGATACGCAGCGTATCATCGATACGTACGTCAAGTCAAGTAAATTGGCTCGCAACAACGTTTTTCATGTGTAGCAACGGACTAAAAAGGAGAAAATAAAATACTTAAAAAAAATTTTAAAACCACGTTTTTCTTGTGGACTAAAAAGTAGAAAATAAATTATTGCTCGCCCCAAAAAACGTGGGTCGGGCTGTACGTTCACCATCAAATTTCCAAAATTCGTGTGTTGTGTGCTTTTCGCTTTAACCATAAATCTGCCCGACACACGTTTTTTGGGGCGAGCCATAATTTATTTTCTACTTTTTAGTCCACAAGAAAAACGTGTTTTTAAAAAAGTTTTTTTAGGTAATTTATTTTCTACTTTTTAGTCCACAAGAAAAACGTGGTTTTTTAAAAAGGTTTTTTAAAGTACGCATTTTTTTGTGATTGTAAACTACCACCTTATATTACGTGTAGCTTATCGTGTTGCTGGTGCCCCACATCATGTTGCATTTATAACACATCATGTTGCAGGTGTAACACATCGTGTTGCAGGTGTTCCACACCATGTTGCAGGTATAACACATCGTGTTGCAGGTGTCCCACATCATGGAGTTGCACGTGCTGGGCTACGAGTTCCTGGTGTTGCCCAACGCCTTCATAATCCACACTCCGCACGCGCCCAGCTTCGACATCGCCAAGTTCAGGACCTCACCTCAGTACAAGTTGTAAGTTTACTTCATTGGAAGGAAGTTTCCTTCTTTTGAATATGTTACGGGTTCTTGTATATGACGTATACATGTATGCTTATGAATACATTATGCGTAAAACGAATTTGATCCAATTATAACGCTGGCCCCCTAAAGAGGATTTCAGCGATCCGAATGAAGAATGATTTTTTTACCCTACTAGCATAAAGTTCTTTTCGCAATCACTGCTTATAAGTTGTTCCTGAGAATCCTTATCATGGACGATCTTGTTTTTCAGCTGCGTGAAGGTGCTTAAGAAGGAGTTCATGGAGAGCTTGAGCCGCAAGTATGGCAACGCCGAGTCCTGAATACAATTTTGCTGTTTCTTTTGATAAGATGGTAATCATGCAATAGACGGCAGCAAATGGCTACAATTAAACTTTTATATATGGTTTAATTTACATGCATTTCCGATGTTCTATTCAATTTTTAGGCTCAAACAATGTTGAGATTATGGTTAGTCTGCATACGATCCACTTCCGCCGTTGCTAATATTTTTGCAAGAGAAAAATATTTCCTTACGGCTTACACATGAGACATTCAGCATCGAAGTTGATCATCACATGCAACTGTTATCATATATTTGACTTGATATTATATGTACTTCGTGCAGTTACTGTCTATTTAGAATTTATTTTGAACAAATTAGTGATAAGCTTGTATCTGATACACCTGTTAAGAGTGATGTGGAATATTGCAAAGTTTCTTCTACGGCCTCTGTTGTGTTTTAGCCGAGCTACGATCCTAAAGTATATCCGGGGGGGGGGGATGTGCATTTTTATTAGTTGTTTACTCTCTAATTAGTGTTATCACAAAAATACTTGTATCTCACAATGAATTAAATACTCGATGCTGGTGTGTGCAATTGGACTGAAGCTTTCAGTACAAGGTCTGTGTTGAAAGTAATATTATTGTATTTTAATTTATTCAAGTTATCGAAGGAAACAATAATGTTTGGAACCAGCGAATTGGTGCGCCCCAGAGGGGATCTCTGGGCCCACGGGCTGGTGAAATCCCTGAGCGTTCAAACTATTAAAAAGTGTAAAAATGTTTTTAATTGTACGTATTTTAGCACGTTTTATTTTATTTGTTTCCTGATAATTATTGAGGAAGTTCTTATTCAGAGTCGAATGCTGCAGGTCATCAGTATGGTTGTTTGCCCTGCCAGCCTGTTACGGAATAACTTACCCTGATCGTATGTGTGTCTTTGTAAAGTGTTGAGAGTTCAGCAAAAATTTGTCATTACCTGCTGCAACAGAAGAAATCAATAAAGAGACGTTAATCCTTGCTCGGATTTTTATTTTTAAATTTGTTTTCTCATTTATTTATACTTTATAATTATTTTTTTTGTGATTTCTATACGCCCCAAAGCGAGTTACGAGCGCATCAATAGTACATGACTATTTACATTGCAGTTAGTATGAATATGTCCTTCTGTGTATACACATATGTAATTTGAACCAATATTGCTGATGCGTCAATAATTGCTTCTGGTCAATTTTGACGAACATTTCATAGAATAACATTGTTTACCCCGGGGTGTAAGTATCGTCATTATAATTTATTGAATCTCCATATATTTTCTAGATATATGTAATTTATATTGTTTTATTCCTATCAATGTGTACCCTTTACATTTCATTTCTAGAACTATTATTACTCACACACCGCACACATTATGACTGTTGCTTTCTTCTTATGAATCCGTGCTGTTTTTTCATCTTCACTTGTGACGCCTCTGGGCTTCCTTGCAATTTGACGTTTTTTCTTCCTGAAGTAAATTATGACTTTAATACCTTGTTAATGCTAATTCTTCCTGAAACGCGAAGCTGAAGGTGCCAATAACAATAAATGGAGGCGATTAATCATCAGTTCAGCATTACGGTGGTGGCTTGTTTTTTTATCGTACGTGATTATTTTAACAGACTTAGATACTAGATTTCGGCGTAGGTTTTGTACAAGTTCTTGGTAGGCAAGTAAGTTTCACATTATTTGCAGGAAGTTTTACACTCAAAGCAATTCTTTAGAAATTGCGTTTTATCTATCGGTCCAGTATATGTATGTTGCGGGCGTATTGAAATGGAAAAATCATTTTTCGATTTGGAACTTCAAACAAATATTATGTATCTTTATTTAATTGCTGGCAACACCGTAGCTTGATTGTCTTTGCGAGCTGTATCATGTATGATAGTATTAAAATTAACACAAATAAGTTTTGTATCAATTTCTCTGGATCGAAAATTTGCTCACACTTAATTACACAAATCAAGTTTGGAAATTATGCGAATGCCCAGTCATGTGTCATGACTCATAGGAATTATTTCGGTGATAAAGCGGCAATTTGTGTCCGATTGTGTTACATAGGGGCTAGCTGACATTAGTATTTGACGGTTTCTATATTATCGTGATGGGTTAGGCCTAAAAATAACGGAGTGTGCTGCACCTTGTTTCAACCTTCCCTAATGTTATCACAAAACTACTGTTAACTACAAACAACACTATACGAGGTGCCCACTTACCAATTCCTTGCCTAGTAATGGCTAGTATCTGTGTATCGCTATCACTACATGACTAGTTTGTTAGTATCAGTTCAGTGTCATCAATCCGGAAGAGAGGTAAACGGCCTCTGGTCTCGGTGAGAGTTGTTCGGCTGACCTCGGTCAATGAATGACTCCGAGCCACTCGGGTGAGCAAGTAATTGAATAGACAATTATTGATAATTTTTAATATATCACACAGCTTTGTATGAAAACAGAGGCTTCAATGTAAGTTTTTACTGAGCCTATGCAAAAGTAGGGAGTGACTAGAGACGTAGGGTTGAATTGTAGTGTAGACTGTAGTCACTGTACTCTGTAGACTACGCTCCGGCACCGGCTCAGAGACAGAAACAGACTATTCTACTATTTCTACACATTACACAATGAGTACACATTTATTTTTTAGGGGACAATCTACTGAAAATACAATAAATACTATACTAAATTAAATATTTCCAATTCTATGAATTTTCTGTGCTATTCTCAATAATAAGCGGAAGACTGTCTTCAGCTTTTGCATCAAACAAATGAAAGAGGAATAATTTAACCCCATTCCAAATTTCAATGACTGGAACTAAAGTTTAATAGGACTTATGTTTTGAGCTATGGTCAGACATTTTGACCAGAATAGTTAGTTATCCGTGCAATGAAAATTATTTTTTTCAGAAAGAACATGCATTTTCGATTTCCTAATCCTAGGTAGGTAGGTACATGAGTACATCGTACGTAGGTAGGCTATTTGGGTTTGGCCTTGCCGTTTGACTACTCACTACTGTAGTACTGTTTAAAAAATAAAATGGCTACTCTGTGCTAAATCAGTAAATGCTAAACAGCTAAAGAACTATAAATAATGCTCAGACTATTTCAGATTTCACTACCTAGGTAGTCCAAGGTTGGAAAATTCTTTTTTATGATTGGAAATTTGGAATCTTATGGCTCTAAAGTCCAGAGTGCCAACCGCAAAGTGACATATTACTATAAATTTGAGATCATTTAGCTTGATCATGCACTTTTTTTATTATTTATTAACTGTTAAATGAGAGTTTTTCTTGTCACTTGTCAGTTGTCAGAGCTCAGAAAGTAGGTAGAATGGTAGATAGCCTATAGCCTATACCAGTTGCATTACTAGGCTAGGCTGCAATCATTACCAATCAAGTTCAGCCCATTCAGGATTGGAAATTTCCTACTTATGAGTTATGAATGAAATCTTATGGCTGCAAAGCAAAAAATTTTCAATACATTTGGAATCTCGCAGCCCAATCTTGTACTTTTGTTAACAATTACAAAGGAGGTAATTTATCTAGCGGGAATGTTGCGGCTCCAGATATGACAGGAAAGCTTAAGGGGACCGGCTACCCTAAAATTTTCAATTTTGGCGTTTTTCGGTTTTTGTGCTCATCTGAAAGCTGGAATTCTGCTCTTTCCAATGGTACCACTGCCATTGCTGTACGTTAATATTTACGTTCATGACGTCTCTTTAAAGGGAAGCGGGTGAGAGAGTTCTTTAACTAAGTAATTAGATATAAAGTAATTAGCTGCTGAAATCTTTGAATATAGTTTCTACTTGAGTTGTGCTGCAGTTACATGCTTAGTCTCATCTTAAAGCTGACATTCTGAGCTTTCCAACGATACTACTGCGATCCATGTATGGCAATATTGACGCAGACGGCCAGGCTTTAATTGGGGGCGGGGGGTGGAGTTCCTTAACTAAATAGACCTAAGAAAATTACAGCGGATTTTCTATGAATTTCACGTTTTCTATCAATTTTTTTGAAAAATACATAGGAGCAAAATGTTTTTCTTTTTACCTTTTACGTATGTATGTGAAGTTTCATGATAATCGGATAATAATTGTAGAAGTTTTTCCGGAGGGTAGCCGGTCCCCTTAACTTTTAAGCAGGGTTGGGTGGTTGGCAATGATTAAATCAAACTAATTGTTATGAAAAAATCAAAAATTTTTTTATTTTTTTCAATTATTTGGATTTATTTAAATATATTGATTGGCAGTCTTTGATTTTTTTTCAGGTATTCATGGTTTAGTATAAATGTACTTTGACAAATTGGAATATAAACCTGTTGCCTTTACTAGTGTGTATTACATTTCAATTAATTGTATGTTTTTGGTACAGAGGCTTCAAGTGTTGCAATACATAGGACATAGCTAGCAGCTTAGCTAATTCTTATGAGGCTATAAGTAGTTTTTAACTAACAATTTGTTATATATTAGTAATTAGTTAAATTATACAATTTACATGTGTTACCTACCTCATATAAGAATGGTTGGTTGAGATTGTATTGACCCTTTAGGCATTTAGAAAGATTTTTCACTCTAATATGAGTATTCTAATTAAAATATTTAATTTCAATTTTTAAATATGTGAATTTATACTGTAACTAGAAACAAAACAATTTCAATTATAAAACTATATATAGTAAAATAATTAAATGCAGTGAATGGAAATAAAATGTTTGAATTTTGTACATGTTTATTGCAAACAGTGTTTGCTTTTCTCATAACATAAGTCTTGTTTGAGGTTTGTTTGGTTGTTCAGTTTTTGTTCAGTATTGGTTTATTGGTCTGCATCTAATGGGAACAGTGCAGTCAGTCACTCCGTCACTACTAGTTGGTGTGATTAGAGGGTAGAGTCTGGTAGTTTTATAGGACATAAAACTAGTAGATCTATTGATGCTATCAGCTATCTATCTGTTATGTGACTCTTCAATGTTTAGGAGTTCTGCATTCCTGAAGTGTTGTATTTTGAAGCCAGGTAAATTGTCTATATTTAGCCCGTTACCTTGCTCCATACAAACTTTACAAAGCTAATGAATAGACTTATCAATAATTGTTTACCCAAAAGTCCCAAAGGGTAAACACCACCTTGGCCATTCTTGAAGGTAATAACTGCCCTTTTTAGCCATCCATTTCAAAAAGACAAAAATAGAGGTAATATATGAATAAGATTTAAGAATCAGAAACTAGATTTTCCTTTCATATTTAGCTAACCTTTTTTTACTGATCAAGTTAACAAGCTGGATTCATCCTAAATATATGATCCATCATTCCTAGAATTCCAACCTACAAGAATCCACTTTTAACGTCCTTCTTCTCTCTCTCTCTCAGCCTCCAAAGACTCTAAACATCTCTTTACTCATCTCAATCACAGCCACACTTTTTCCCTCAGACAAATCCATAATCCTTGTAATCTGCTCCTCACTTGTTCTCTCAAACCCTAGTCTTTTACTCTCACCCCCTTCATTCATTATTACCTTCAAAGAATGTCATTCTATCTCATATGCCCTACATTTGACCATTAAGAACTCCATGGTTTCCCTCTCATCCCCATCACACAGTGAACATTTGTCCCCCCTTCCCTCATTCCACCTGTATGTATGTACTTTCATTCATGCCCAGTACCTCTGCCCTCATGCTAAAAAAATATAACTCGGTACTCACTGCAGTGAGTGACATAGAGCACATTTTCTCGTTGACAAAAGCTTGAGGTCATGGACAGATGGACGGACAGACAGACAGATGGACATGGTGAGCACAATAGTGCATTTATTCCATAAATGAGAAAATGCGCTAAAAACAAGTCCCTCATCTACTTCCATCTTACATACATTTATTCTAGGCATCATTTTCATTTGATACGGTTTGAGGGTATCATTTCCATCCATTCCATGTTTCCACTCTTATTCCATATCTGTTTACCCTCTTAATTATTTCTTTTTTCCATTCATTTTCATCACACCCAATTCCAGCTGTACCCTGCATTGTCACCACCCATCCATCTTTGTACAAGACCCATGCCTCATGAAAATGATCTAAGATGAGATCCCAAGGAAATATTTGGTACGTAGCAGACAGCTTATGCAATCTATTTACTGGGAAAGATTGAAATGAATATTAACTAAAGATTTCAACTGGTCTTATTTTGGGACTGATGAAATTTTTAGCAAATTTTGTATGTTCATTATCTCGTAGGGTTTTTGTGATTTTGCCTTGCGTGACTACAAAAAAAAAAGTATAAATCATCACCATTCCCCAGAAATCACCTTCATACTGGCAGAAATTACAGCAACCAGCCCATAAGAGATTGTTATCTAAGTAGAGGCCTCAGGGGTGACAGACTGGGTGAGGGTGACGTACAGAAATAGTCTATTTATAAAGAGACTGTCTTGTCTATTAAACATTGATAAGAGTATTACAGTCTAGATCCATCTATGACATCTTTACTCAAATTTTTGAGTGATTTTGCTATTTTTTTAGTTGACCAAGTTTTTTGCATCGTTCTCGCATTTTGCTCTCACGCGAGTTCTCTTGGACATGAGGTGTTTCGTTTGGTAGCTCACACACGAACGCAGCCCTGTCCCTCGCTTAGTATTCAGTGTGCTGTTCCCCTCAACTTTCACTAGGCATGAAGTGCTCTGGTGCTCACCAGTGCGCTACACACACTAACATATTCGTTATTTAAAATGACTTGGTCGAAGGCTGACTCACCCACTTGTGTGTTATAGCAGTAATTTGAACAGATTTGTGTTGAAGCCAGCTTAACAATTTGAGCTTATGGTTCTTCGTGTTACCTTGAAATTTTTAGGTATTAACTTGCACGAAAATGCCCGACGTTTTATCCCCTATCACTTTAAGTTTTGAGACTCTCCATACGCGTCTTTTGACAAGTAAATTTAATTTATCCTTCTATTTTATATTATTTTTCAAACTTGTTTCTGTCGGTCTTATTCTTTCGTTTGCCAATTGTTGGGGACTGAGTATCTCGTCAGACAAGTAGGTGTATCCTAATGCTTGTCAGTCCAATGTAACCGAGAATTTCTTTGAATTAATTTTACCTTCAGAGCGTATTCGTGCCCAGAATTAAGCTTTTTAGCGCATTTTCTCATTTATGAAAAAAATGCACTATTGTGCTCGCCATGTCCGTCTGTCTGTCTGTCTGTCCGTCCGTCCGTGACCTCAAGTTTTCGTCGACGAGAAAATGCGCGCTCTGTCACTCACTGCTATGAGTACTGAGTTAAATTTTTTTACTTTCACGATTTTTGGGTCTCGTTTTGAAGCCTAGGACAATTTCAGGAAGCTTATGACGTTTCTCAAAATTAAAGTTTAGTTCGCAGTTTGCATGCATTGCTGATCTCGTATCTCGATGACATTAGCTAAGAAGTGTTGCTCACTTAATGCTCGCAAAGACGTTAGTCTCGTGTTCGTTATTGCAATGCACGATATCTTGCCGGCTGGTTATGGACTTTGGACTCTGATCCCTTGCATTTAATGGGTGCTTCAGCATGGCTGCAGAATAATGTATGGCAGTGCATGGTAGTTGGCAGAAGTTAGCTAGTCAGGCAATCAGTCGGCGTGTGGAGGTCGGGGAGGAGAGATCTAGTCAAGCTTGCCCTCCCCGCGCGACGCGTTGAGAGCTGTCCGATACCGTGGGCTGCTTTTTAGAATAGAATAGACGTGTCGGCGTTGAAGTGTGCAGCTTCCTTCTAATAAGTCTCATTATTATTATCATGACCAAAAGGGGTTTTGATTCTTTGTTATGTTTGACATATTTTAGCTTTATCATTTTAAATGCTGGAATTTTTGTGGTACGCCAGTTAGCTCGAGTACGATTTTAGTGTCGTGGTTCATTCAAGTGCGTGTGAGTGTAATGCGTCGAACTATTGCATGGGAAAGAACTCTTTAAACGACGCTGTCTCGGTTGCCCGTTCGTTCGATTGCCGAGCCGAGTGTAGTTAGTGGTCGTGCTTGAGTCGGCTCTGTCAAACGCTAGCCTGTGTTGCTTCCGTTAAGCCTTTGTCTCCTAATAGGCCTAAGGATGCGGATAGCATTGGCAACCGGTAATGTATTCGTAGACGTAGTTTCCGCAGTGACAGCGTTTTTCTGGTGTTTTCTTCACTGAAGCCGCAGCGTTTTCTTTTGAGAGAAGCGTCTATGCTCTGTCGTATGCCATGTAACTTTTCATTTGTTTTCTAGATTTTCAGTTGTGCTAGACAGATTTGTGTTGTACTTAGTCATGATTTTTAACTTTATACTGGATGACTAATTTAATAGTACCAGATGATCACAAAATGTTTCTTGACATACTCATTAAACACATTGGTACATACTTACTATATCAATCAGTTGACATTTATTAAATTATACGATGAAATGCTCGTTCATGAAATGAAGTTCATTTATAATATTATTCGTTTTACAATTATTCAGCTCCAATTACTTTATGTATTACGGTATTGAATTTTTAACCAATGTAAGTAACTTGTGTCTGGAGGGTAAATCTATGAAAGATTGACTAATAACCTAACCTACGTAATGACTGAAAGCTACCTTATAACTAAAAGATCATTAATTAAGTCATGCTCTCTTGTCTCTTGATCCTGACATGTTAGGTGCGACGCGATGTTGCTAGCTCAGAATTGAGCCGTGTTCTCGGCATAACCTTGCCAGGAGCCTCTGACCTTGTCCAGTGAAGTGAGAGTGTCTGGGATGTAGATTTCCATGCTTCAATGTATGGTACATTATCGAGTCTGCACTGCAACTTCAGTTTTATTGTTCCTGAGCGCCCCACCACAGAGCTCGCGGTGCCTGACTCTATGTCACAGTTGTATAGGCAGGATTCCTATAACAATTCTCTTCCTTAATTGTCTCTCTCGTGCGGGCGACCGACGTCCAGCGTAAGCGACTTCTTGTCCGAGTGTCTTCGTTTCTGTTGCTTTTCACCTGTCCCTCCTTGTCACTTCGTTTCTTTGAGATGCTAACGCTGCTTCTTTCGAGCCAGCTTCAGCGGCCGGGCCATTTGAGACCTTCCGCCCCCAATGTGCGATGAAAGATTTTTCATGCGAGAAACTCTCATTTTGAAACCTCACACCTCATTGGTAATAATGGACTTGACATTTAGTGCTAGACAGCTGATTAGCAGCTGAAGTGCTGGTAAACATGTGGCCTCTAAACTAGGTGATGGTTCGTCAATTGCGCCTCCCGAGAGAAACGCGGGGGGGGGGGGGGCGAATGGCAGAAGCAGGAGATGAGAGCAGGGGCGGGAGGGTGAGAGTGAGCGAGGCGATACCGGTTTCAATTGTGGACTTCGTACCCTGCGTTTTCTTGTCAAGTGGCAAGATCCACTTTGGCCCACTTTAGCCGAAGTTGCGTCCCGGTGTCTGATATGTTTTATCCCTCTTTCCATTGTTTCTCTTTAGTGGGATGGAGAAAAGCTGTTTGGCCCTGATGTGCGGTGTATTGCGCTCGAGTTGTTTATATTTGCAATTATCCAAAGGTGGATGATTGTGAGCCGTCAGGCACGCATTTCCAAAATTGTAATAGAAAAAAGTATTAGCCTGCAAGTCGACAGCTGGTCTTATTCGTTGCCGATATCACATCTCGCGCCTGCTGCTGATGAGAGAGCGTGTGAGTGAGACCTCAGATGCGAGATCACAGGCTCTGATCATTGTCAATGCAGGTGCTGCACAGTTTAACATGCATTCAGTGCACAGTTCATGCATTCAACACAATCGCGGCAATGATTAGCTCAATGAAATGACCTGACGGTTTGGTACTATGTCTCTTATATGATTTTATTTTGTCAAAATCTTGATTAAACAGAGAAAAATGCTCGCCAGTAAAGTAATCAAGTGTTTACCCATAACCAAATTACTGTACTATCATCAGATTTCGACGTTTACCCTGCCGATTAAGCAAATGCCTCATTAAAAACCGTAGAAGATTTCCATAAAACCAAAAAACCACTTGGCTTCGTAGTTAGAATAAGTGCGTTTCCTGAGGTTTCGTGACACGCTGCCCAAATCTGAATTAGCACTATCAGTCCCTCCGACCAGAAAAAAATTAAAAGTAATTATAAAGCGTCTTCTGGTCGTGTCGCGACTCTCGTGGCGTCGAGTCTACTTTGACACGCCGCAAATAGTCTTGCTTGAGAACATTGGAAGTCTGCCAAGAATGTGAGTTGTGACTGGTCTATTCAGAAGGCGTGTCGTGGAGGCTGGTGCAAGCTTTCTTACGAGTGGACTTTGATCTTTACCTGCGTCATCACAGGAGTTTGGGTTCGTTTCTTTCTTCTCTCTTTTTGATTAGTTTATGTAATCTGTATTTCCTTATGAGCTATCGTAAAGAAATTATTTTCTGAAATTCCAAAGTGGTCCTAGTCCAATCATTAAAAGATATATGCTAAGAGTTCACCGATTTTTTTTAAAAGAGGAAACGGTTCACAAGCGATTTATCGCAGTGTTTTCTGTAGCTATTTATCTTCATTTTAAGGTAATTGGAATGAGGTTAGATTAGTCGTTATGTAGTTGTGACCTAATTGTATTAACATACTAAAATTATAAATACCATTAATTAGACTCAATGATCCGTGAATAACTTTTCTTATTAAACTTTGACATTTTTTCCAGGCATAGGTACGCATTAAACGCCTCCCCCGTAGGAGCTTTCGCGCTTTGGGGCAGGGAATTTATTTTCATTTTAATTTAAAATAAATAGGCTAAAAACATAGTTCCTGCTCTGACTTTTACTTCCCTTAATCTAATTCTCGAACAAAATTTAATTTCAAAGTATTTTACTCCAACAAAGTTCATTGCCATTTTAAAAAAAGATATATCAGATAGAAAAAAGATCAGCCCTCTAGTGAAGACCAGTGCTGAGCCTACGTCTTGAGCATGGCAGAAGCGCACTCGGCCGTGGCCTTCTCGTTCTCCGTGACCCACGAGGGCGTACAAGTGGACTATGACCGCGAGCTGCTGCACATCATCTTCCACTCCGGCGTGCGATCTTGGCGTCGTAACTTCACCAGGTTTGCCGTGAGTATTTACTCCGCCTCTGTTTTTAGCGCATTTTCTCATTTATGGAAAAAATGCACTATTGTGCTCGCCATGTCCGTCTGTCTGTCTGTCCGTCCGTGACCTCAAGTTTTCGTCGACGAGAAAATGCGCTTTCTGTCACTCACTGCAGTGAGTACTGAGTTATATTTTTTTATCTTCTATGTGAATTTTTGTTTTCTAATTGATTCTGCTTGTCTTATAGGTACTATTGAACTTTTGAGCTGATGATGGAGCTAGACTCCGAAACGTTTTCGTTCTTGAGAAATGATGAGTTTTTTTGGCTGTTTTCTTTGCTTTTAAATTCTTAATCTGCATTTCTTAATCCATAATATTCATAGGAGACTATAGTTGTGCTAGTCGTGATTGTGATGGTGCGGACACTAGTTGCGGTTGTGATGGTGCAGAGACTAGTAGTTGTGATGGTGTGGACACTAGTGGTTGTGATGGCGCAGACACTAGTGGTTGTGATGGTGCAGACACTAGTGGTTGTGATGGTGCGGACACTAGTGGTTGTGATGGTGCAGACACTAGTGGTTATGGTGCGGACACTAGTGGTTGTGATGGTGCAGACACTAGTTGTTATGGTGCGGACACTATAGATAATATATCTTCGTTGCAGAACAACATCAGATGCGGCGTATACCCAGGGTCGCTGTCGGCGATGGTGCTGAGCGTAGGCACGTACAACGGCCTATACCTCACCAGGCAGGCCTACAACCACAACATTGATCCGTCCTTCGGCCTCATCGATGTCCTCAGGAAATACATCAAACTGTTAGTGCTCCCCCATAGTCTTCATGTCTACCTTTCTTCATTGGCTTCATTGTATCAGCTCCGTTTTATTTAATGAAATTGTACCAATCGATCTTGATCTGTTTTTATAATATCAATCCCCTTTATTTTACCAATGTTTCTTTATAATGAATGGGAGTTTTATTGCGATTACTTCGATTTTATTGATTTGTTTTTATAGATTTGTTGCGCTTTAGAAATGTTCTCTATAGCAGAAGTTGAACGTAACTGTGTATCTATAATCTACATATATATTCACTCTAGATACTTAGTTGGTTGATTCAATAATTGACATAAATGTGCTCTATTAATCCTGCAGCGTCGTTTAGAATTCATTTAGAAGACAGATTAAGTTCGTTTTATGTTTAATGCTATTATTATTATTACGGCTTTATTAACAATATTTCATTGTGTTTGGCAGTGTGTGAAATGAAATTAATTAAGTAATTAAAATTAAATTGAAGTGAACGTTATTACCTGAACAGAGACGAGCCGTCTCAGAGCATCGTGTGCGCCAGCCTGTCAGGCGTGGCCGTGTGGCTCGGGGTTTGCTACGCCCTCAAGTACAGCCTCAAAGGTCTCTACCAGTACAAAGGTACAGCTTCTTCTTCAAACAATATACAATAAATGTTTGCTACGCCCTCAGGTACAGCCTCAAAGGTCTCTACCAGTACAAAGGTACTCCTTCTTCTTCTAACAATATACAATAAATGTTTGCTACGCCCTCAAGTACAGCCTCAAAGGTCTCTTCCAGTACAAAGGTACTGCTTCTTCTTCAAACAATATACAATAAATGTTTCAAGTCAATTCTGAACGCATGAAATCAGAGATGTGTGAAGGGCCATTTTGGATTGAAATAGAATTACGTGGCTTTAACGATCGAAATGAAATTATTTGAAAAATTGATTTACGATAAATTATACTGTCTAGGGTGTATCCAGTTCTATATGCAATTTATGTTAACCAATCCTATTTAAAAAAATGTAAAAGAAGGGGCTTGAAGAAGGGGCTTTGAATGTAGAAGGGTCTCTGGAATGCGAGTAATTTGTTTAAACTTTTCATTTAGATTTTTTTATTTGTCGCATAACTGTTTATGGCGTAAAAAGTTCTTGAATAAAATGTAAGTGGGCAAGAAATATTACTGTATTACATTATTGGTGCAATATAACTGCACCGCACAGTTATGTGCGGTGCAGTGTGCACCGCACAGTTAGCAGTAAGAGCAGAACACTTAAGAACCTCACTCATGGTTACAATGGATGTCCTGCAATCACCCATTGCTGAGATTCCTAAGTCGTCTGGCTGGTTCTTCCCCAGGCTACTATAATTATTCCCTATGATTGTTTTAAATTGATTCGTAGACGAAAAATTCCAAGTAGGTATTTAATTTAAGATCCTTTAATGCCAGACGCGCAAATTTAAAAGTGAAACTCATGTCTAGATAAAAATGCTGCAAGTGGGAAGTTACAATAGACTAGAGCTCTAGACAATGCTATGCAGGGTATATGGGTATATGTTCATTCTTGAAATTCCTATCACGTTACGAACCTGGCCAATACTTTCAAAAATCGCAAAGTGAACGTAAGTACTTACGCTCTATTTTCTTGTATATTATTGGTGGATTTTGCTTGAAAGGCCATCAAGGATTGGCTGATGAACTTACGATCTCTTGACTTTTTTTGAAAGTATAGGCCCTGGTAATAAGTCAAGTAGTTATCGCAAACAAACGTCAGTTTTGAAAAGATCCAGTCAAAAGGGCGGGGTTTTTAGCGCATTTTCTCATTTATGTAAAAAATGCACTATTGTGCTCGCCATGTCTGTCTGTCCGTCCGTCTGTCCGTGACCTCAAGTTTTCGTCGACGAGAAAATACGCTCTCTGTCACTCACTGCTGTGAGTACTGAGTTATATTTTTTTATCTCCTCTGAACCCGCACATGTACTTCTCTCCTCAGAAGTCACAAAAAGTACCTACATGAATCGGCTACAGGTTCAAAAAGCTCAGCACCGACACTTCTAACCTAATACAGTTTTGGATTCAGTATGTAAAATTAATTGATTGTTCTAGTGAAATTTCTCTGTCTACCAGCGTCATTAATGATGAAATGAATGAGTCAATATCAACTACCTACTTTATTTGAGACAGGATGGATGTACGAAGAGCGTGGTCGAGGTGCGAAGATGTCCCTAACGTCGAAGGTGTGGCTGATGACAGTGAAGTTGCTGTCGCAGTTCTCCTCTCCCATGCTCTACTCCTTCCAGGGCTCCTTGCCCTCCCTGCCCGTGCCCTCCGTTGAGGACACCATGACTCGGGTACCGTCTTATTATTGCTCGTACTTAACTGTTGATTCTCTTACTGGGTCGCCCGTCTTATTTGTTATGGTTAATAGTTTCTCTCACTGGGGCGCACATCTTATTTAATACCTTATGATTGATATGTCGTATCTGTTGGCTGAATGCAGTGTCTGTGAGTGCCCAAGTCTAGTCTAGTAGGAGATGTGTGAAAGTGTGGACATGCATGTCGATAAGTATCGCATATATCGATGAATTTGTCATGTCAACGAACCACCTGCAACTTTGTCTCTGAATATATTTACTATTAATATGTATGCATTTTAATCGATATGACAATTATTAAAGGAAGTTTGGAAAAATGAATTACATCACAATGTATAGTAATGTTGCCTTGCATTTTGCAGTATTTGCGCAGCGTGCGTCCTTTGCTGAACGATGAAGAGTACGCGCGCATGGAGCGCCACGCCAAGGAGTTCCAGGGCGGTATCGGCCGCAAGCTGCAGAAGTACCTGATCCTCAAGAGCTGGTGGGCCACCAACTACGTGAGTGACTGGTGGGAGGAGTACGTGTACCTGCGTGGCCGTGCCCCCATCATGATCAACTCTAACTTCTATGGCACCGACGCCATCGTCGTGCATCCCACCTTCGTGCAGGCAGCCAGGGCCGCCAATGTCACGTACTCAGCCTTCCTTTTCCGCCGTCTCATTGACCGACAACAGCTAAAGCCTGTTAGTGAACTGCTGTTTTGTTCTATCTGTTGGGTAACGGTTGGATCGTTATGTGCTTGCTTTTCCGATCCATGCTACTTGTATTACTGCAGATGTCCTGTCGGTTTCACCAGTATATACACCAGCTGAAGCTGATAGAATTTTATTACTTTACGATTGTTTTACATTGATTCCTAATAATATCGCATTAAGAGTGAAATTTCTTCAATTAGAAGACTTGATATTATAGGCAAAGCGATCATTGCTGCCCGCAGATCATGGTCAGTGGCACGGTGCCCTTGTGCTCTGCCCAGTACGAGCGCACCTTCAACACCACCCGCGTGCCTGGCATTGACACTGACAGGTAAATAAATTGACTTACATTTGTCTACAGGAATTGTGCAACGAAATAACGTTTACTTATAATCGATATTTGTGATGATAGCATATGTTTAAAGACTCTAGCATCGAAAAATGTGCTGACAAAGGACCAAAACTTATGATAAACTAACTGATGAAACTGTTTTCGCGCAGACTAGTACACTTCGGAGATTCCATGCACATCGTGGTGATACACAACGGGCGCTACTTCAAGGTGCCGTGCTATTACAAGGGGCAACTTCTCACTCCTCCCGAGCTGCAAATGTCCGTCCACCATCTGTATAATTTATATATATTATGTAGCTCTTCTTTCTACTTAGGAAATATTTGTTCTTTGCTCGAAATATCAATGCCCAGAACGCTTCATTGCAGCTTTGAACCTTGATGCTTACCGGTACATTTGTTTGCATGCTCAGCATTACTTAACACATTACTCTGCCAATATCTTCATAGGGTTGCTTTGTCTTATCGTGTTGATAGTCAAACTATTTTTCATCAAATTTTCAAGCAATTTCATTCTATCTCGGATAATTGAATATCTGAATGGGTCATATCAACACATTTTTATCCACACTGAGGATGCCAAGTCCATCGTTTAATATCTCATCTGTCTTTATCATTAACTTTATTCTGAAAAATATTTTTTATTATGTACGTAATACGTTCGTTGCAATAATAATAGTAAAATTAATAGAATGGTTCTTGGTGAACAGTCAGTTCCAGCGCATCTTGGACGACGACGTGAAGCCTGACGAGGGCGAGGAGCTGATGGGGGCGCTCACGGCGGGAGAACGCAGGCCCTGGGCCATGGCCAGGGAGAAGTTCTTCACGACTGGCGTGAACCGAGCCTCGCTACAGGCCATTGGTGAATTTAATAATAGTTTGTAATAATTTTAAAAATCTGATTTACAGGAGAGGTCAGCTGGGCCTATTACTGTATATATACGTTACAGTGTGTAGTACATAGTTGTATGGGAGTACAGGCCCTGGGTAAGCTGCAAAGTATATGAATGAATTTAGCCAACATTGCATCCTGATCCTCTAAGGCCCTTTATTGCAAATCCGCCTCTGGAATCTTCCTTGTAAATTGGACAATTGTAGTATAGGGTACTGTAAGAATTTTTCGTTAATCACAAAGTCTTATAGAGAACTTCAAAATATTCGATTTCCATGGTGAATGGTGTTTAGTCGACGTGGAAACTAAGCTGGCCCAAATTTCCTAATAGGTAAAGTTCGATTATCTGCTCCAATGCGTTGCTCGCTGCTAAGATATAGTATTTCAGTTCATTGATGCTATTCCAGTTCTAATCCCGATTTTTCTCCATGTACAAGATCGTGCTGCGTTTGTGCTGAGCCTGGAGACCGAGTCACAGGACTACAACGCTGACAAGGGCACCGATCTGGACGGCTTCGTAAGAACTATGCTGCACGGCAAGGGCCACGACCGCTGGTACGACAAGAGCTTCAACGTCATCGTCATGGCTAACGGCAAGGTCAGTTACTACGGCTTGCAAGTCTAAAAAATTTGTTATCATTATCCTCTAATTCCAAGTCATGGCTAATGAAAAGGTAACTCACAATACTGCTTTTTACGGCTTGGAGTTTTTTTAACACGTTGACTACGATTGCTCATCTTGTGCTATTATTTCATTTTTTGTACTGTTTTGAAACAGGGTTGCCAGACGGTCATTTTTTTCGGACAAATTCCGTGATTTAGTTTTTCTCAATTGCGTTGGCCGGCTAAAATTTATGATAGGGCTACTTCCTAATTGAATTTTAAATACTGCAAAAAGAAAATAAATGGAATTTTCATAGTGGAACCTACAAATAAACTAGTATATTTTGAGTTATTGGCCTTTTTGGCCTTTTTTGTTCTAGGATTTGGCCGATTTTAGGCAACCTGAATTATGCACCACTACGTCCTGGAGAAATACATTTCGTGGTACGCATATGTACCACTTCGTAGTCAACGTGTTAATTTGTTTGCATAGTTCTAATTATTGAAAGTCATGGCCTACGGCAAATTAAGACAATGGCCGACTTGGAAGTTTCGAAAAATTATTCAAATAAATTCACTTCTGGATTTGTTTTTCAGGACTCCTGCAATTTGTTTTAGTAACTAGAGAAATTGTAATCATCTTTGACAATTTGAATGAGTTGATGAAATTTGAAGTGGACATTTCAAGTTCATTTCCGATCGCTGGAATTCATTAATTTCCTTAGGATTTATAGCGCGGTTCACTATAGTCGTTTTAATACCATTGTTGGTATTACATTCTCATATTTTCAAGTTAAATGGTATTCTCTAATGTTCTTTTAATACTAGTTTTCTATTTTTCAGATTGGTTTCAATGCTGAGCATGGCTGGTACGTAAACCTTCAACTTAAACTATAATGACCATTTACATCTCGAGTAAATTACTTATTTCATAATTAATATCAGTCAATTTCCTATAATCAACTTGAAATTTTTTAATTCATTTTAAAACCCATCGTTCATTCATCAAATGTTCTAGCTTTGCAAGAATTTTGCTAGTCATTTAACTACTACAAGAAACAATGTCGTCTCACTTTTAACAATAGGTTTTTGCTTTGCTATAGTTTACGTTCCAGCAGTAGCTGTCATTAGTTGTCCTGCCCCATTCCTCGTTATGATAAACGATTAACTTGTGTTGGTCGTTAGAAACCTTGTTCGTAATATCGTACTTATTGCCTGTGATAATCAAGCGTATAGCTCCCTTCACCATTTAAAACATCATTTCACATCGTGTCAAATATTTGGCTCATCTGTTTATATCACTCCATTTGTCTGAATTAAATTAAGGTAAACTTGACACATTTTTTGATGAACTTTCTTGATGAGTGAATTTCCTTGCATTCATTGTATTCTCACTTGTATATCTCGCTCTTAATAATTCCATACTTTGATACGCAGATAGTCATTCATAATTTGTTGCAATGTAAATATGGATTGTATAATTTTCTATTTAATTTCTACGTGTGACTTATCAGTGTCTCTCCGTCTCCTCCATTCCCACCTCCTCCAAACGAGTTATTTACAATATGTTTCTCCGTCTCTGCTCAAACCCTCGACCTGGCCTGTCATCGAACCATCAAACAACTTCCACTCAAACCACCCTCCCCTTAAACAACCCCTCTCCAACCACACTCCCCTCAAACAACCCTCACTCTAACCACCCTCCCCTCAAACAAACCCCGTACCCTCTTTCCCCTCCAATCAACCCCCTCATGCCATCGAGCCGCCCACCATTGGCCCGTAATACAATTGGGCCGTTTTTATGTCGAACCACATTTGCCTCTAACTGCATCCACCCTGGAACCGCTCACCCCTGAACCTTCACCTTGACACGCTGCCAAGTACCTTGTCGTGTACCCGCGTTGGCGTGTCAGGGCTGACGCTGCGATTGCTTCACACATGTGGGAGTTCATCATGGTCCAGGACCTCCTCAAGCCTTGGTGAGGAACTCGTAATCTCTTGTATCGTGACCGCGACTGGCCAGAGTCCTTGTCGGGTCCTCGAAGGCGACGTGGGTCTGGTCGCTATATTCTGGTGGTCGTGGTTCTCGTCACATTTAGTATTTTTAGAGATGCAAGTTCATTTCATTGAAGATCTACAGTTTTCGATGTTACGCTCTGCACTTGGTTTCACACACTATTCACTTCACATTCCTTGCCGCTTTCACTGGGATTTGTACACTTTAAATTTTACTTTGCCGTGCCCATCTCTTTCCAATGTGACGCTCGACTATATTTTTGTACCCAGTTTTTTCTGCTTGGCTACTCAAACTTGAAAGCCCAGAAATTCACCTAAGAACATGCGTTATATGTGTTAGCACATTTATAACTCGCCGTGGCCGCATATTTCTTCTCGTTTCTTAGCTTGTATTTGAAGGAATAATTTTATCTTAGATGATTACTTTCACTTCATCTCAATTCTTCTCACGATTGCACTTTTAAATCAAACTTCACTACCGCAGTATCTGGCCTGAACTTCGGCTTCATTTTAATGTGTCTTATAAAAGTTATTTATCACCGAGGGAAAGCTTCTTACTTTGGTCCATAGTTTTTCACATTTCCCTCTCATCATCTGTTCCTCGTTGTCTTATTTCCGTGCTCGTCGCCCGTAATTTTGGTCGCAACGAACATATTCCTGGAAGAACTTCGTCTCCCTCCAACCTCGCCCTCCTCAACCTCCCTTACCCCCGCTCCTCTCCCTCCTGAGCGCCTTTAGTAGTGTTTCATTGAGACATCTTTCTTTCTCAGGGCTGATGCTCCTATTCTCGGCCACATGTGGGAGTTTATCATGGTTAAAGACCTGCTCGAGATGGGGTAAACTCGAGACTTGTTTTCTATTTCTGTTTATGAACTGCCACTAACACACCTTAGCTCTGATGAGCGTTTCACGTTTTGTTATCGGTTCTTGGAACAATCTTAGGTGTTCTGTGTACACGCAGTAGATGGCTTCTTAAATAGACGGCAGTGCTGACTAACATCTTTTGCTTCAAAAAACTTTGGTACTTGTAAGTTTATGTTCCGCGCTGTGAATATAAAGCCCGCAGTTTTGACGGTCATGGTACAGTGTCAGATACCTTTCACGGTACCTACGCTCCCTGAGCCCCTATTACTACAATGCCTATTTGATTTTATCGGACGATATGTAATGATTGTTTTTTATGATTCTTACCATTGGTGGTCTTATACTATATTAAAATTTATAAAAAAAATGATTATCATCCATGAGTTGATGGTTGATCCTTAATTAATATCATTGTTGTGTCTATGAAAAATAGTTGGGGATACAAATTTTGAACGATCACTGCGGATGATGGGCTTGTTTGTTCTCATCGTTATCCGCAGCTGTTCTACATTAATGTAAACCCTGACATGCTTTTGTGTTTTCCTCTGTCCTTGAACTAAAATTAATTCTATTGAAGTAGTTAGTAAACTAATATAATTTCATGAGATTGATAGTCTAGGTTATAGTTCTTGGGTGAATTGTAACCACGTGTATATCTTGATTAACCCTAACTGCTAACCATTATTTAGCAGGCTTGCGGCTCATTATTTGCTGAAAAAATGTTTACCGAGATCATAAAATTCTGGTAACTTATGAATCGGTAATTATAGCAAGTTAGAGGATTCCTTCGTCACTTGGGTATTTATCAAACCCTGGGGTGACCAAATAGACCAAATACTTTATAATATCCCACATATTGAGGCTGTATACTTGAAAGGAAATTTCCTGGGTCTGTGTACAAACGCTTTGTTAGCAATGAGCGGTGAGTTGGAATTGTTTTCGTTTATATTTCTATTTGAAAATGATCATGTGCGAGTTGTATATATGAGGTATGTTTAGTAGACAAATCAATGGTATATGTAAAATATTCAAGTTGACTCTACAAAGCACTTTGTTGTTTTCCTATACACTCCTGCGAATAAAAAACTTTTTTCGTTAATGTAACATACATAACTGATTAAGTTTTGACCATAACTAGGTGGATTATCGTTTTGAAATATCCACGTGTCATCCCTTAAGTTCATAACTCATGTAAATATTGTTATGGCAGCTACGACGAGTCTGGAAACTGCATGGGCGAGGCGCGAGTGAACCCGTTGGCGCCCGTGAAGCTGCGCTGGAGCTTGAGCAAGGAGTGCCAGGCAGTGATCGAGACCTCTTATAAAGTGGCCCAGGCGTTGCTCAACGATGTCGACTTGCATCTCATCATGTTTGACGATTACGGTAAAGGCTTCATGAAGAAGAAACATCTCAGTCCCGACGCCTACATTCAGATGGCGCTACAGCTGGCATACTACCGCGACGCTGGCAAGTTCAACTTGACCTATGAAGCCAGCATGACCAGGCTTTTCAAGGAAGGTCGCACGGAGACTGTACGGCCATGCACCATCGAGTCCGCAGCATGGGTCAAAGCAATGGAGAACCCCAAAGAAACAGTCAGTGATATATTCTTTCTTATCTTCTAATTATTTATCTAGTAATTGCCAGTTAATTTACTGGAAGATGTTGTCGAAATAACTGTGCTTTATTTTGTGTCAATTAAACTAGGTTGTGCTTCCTCCTTTTTTTTCTAACCTTTAACGCTTTAATTAGAATAATTAACTGTAGATTATTTAAAATATCTCGTAAATCTTGAGCATTTACTATTGTTATTCATATGCTTTCTTGTTTTGGAGCCATCAACCGATGTTTTTTAGCTCAACAGAAAATCTTGTCTCTTCCTAGATCAATTTTTTTTCTTCCAGGAGAATGTACTAATTTTAGTTAATAAATATTTTATTGATTTGCTGAGTAATGAATAATTGTTGAGAATAAATAGAAATGAATATCTATTTGTCCTTTAATTTAGTATTAATTTTGTTTCTTAGGATGCGACTCGCATTGAGTTGCTGGACAAGGCTTGCAGGCGCCACCAGCGGGGCTACCAAGACGCCATGTGCGGCAAGGGCATCGACAGACATCTCTTCTGCCTCTACGTCATCTCCAAGTATCTGGAAGTTGACTCGCCCTTCCTTAATGTGAGTGACACCTTACTTTACTAATTATCTTCACTCGTAATGAGGTATCAGGCTAATTATTCGTATGCAGCGAGGTTAAGTTGGAGAGTTTACGGTGATGAATGGAAGCCTCGGTTATGGAATTGATGTTGAACCATCTTTTGGATGGCAAGCTTGATAGGTACTGTATGTGCTAATTACACCGGTTTTGACCCAATTGAGAGTTGAAGTGGCAGTATTTTTGTTTAATCATAACTACTCATCACACGAATTCTATTATACTTCATTTGTTAGCAAGTTATTAAATTGTACAAATTAGGGTTCAGGTACGCCCGAAATTTTCTTATCATCTTTTTTTTTAATTGATCGCATTCTTTCAGGAACTCTTTTAGGACGAGTTTTAATTGTTTGAGAACTGTTTATTTCTTGAGAAACGTATTTATTGTTCATTGTTTGAGAACCGTTTTCCTTACGTCACAACGCAGCACGCACGTCTTATCCTAATCAAATCCCCCTCAGGAAGTTCTCTCTGAACCGTGGCGACTGAGCACATCCCAGACGCCCCACGGGCAGACGGGCAAGTTGGACCTGACGGAGCACCCCGAGTGTGTGAGCGCCGGCGGTGGCTTTGGGCCCGTCGCTGACGACGGCTACGGCGTGTCGTACATCATCGCTGGCGAGAACAACATCTTCTTCCATGTCTCCAGCAAGAAGAGCTCGTCTGTAACTGTAAGTCTTCGAGTTACGTAGTATATTGGTTACATTCATTCATGGCCGGATGAAGTGTTCCAAAATCTGATTTCTTGTTCAGCATATTTCGCATTTATTTATGTTAGTTGCGTTGTGAAGAGTTGTCTATATATGGTGTCATCCTACTTTTTTGTGGTCCTGTCGACGCAAACGCTGTGCTACTCACTGCCTTGTGGTCGTACTTTATTCCACCCCGTTTTCATTTATTCTCTAGCTAAAAAATTACTCCATTGTTATCGAAAATAATTACAAGATGTTTAATTTTCCAGAACTCCAAGGGCTTCGCTCGTAACATTCGGAAGGCTTTGAATGACATGAAGACCTTGCTGTCGTCCACCAAGAAATAGTGCAAACGAAACTCTGATTGGCTTTACTCAACCAAAATCAACTCTGCGTATGCAATCAATGCAACCGTGAATAAAACAGTGAAGTTGTGAACTTAGTTTTTTAAGTCTCAACGTTACCAGTATTCAAATTCTTTCAAGTATTATGTATCGGGTTGTTTGGTATCCTAGGGAAAATGCGTTATTCAAAAATTTAATCTTGCAAAATTTCTAATGTATCATTGTCTCTACCATGGATAATTGTGAAAATAGAAAGTGATGAAAATTACAATTCTTTGATCTAAAGTTTTAACTGCAGCTTACCTTCTTTTCAGCAGATATTCTTCCCTACTAATATAATAAGGGTTCGGCCTATAAAATGAATAACCAACCCATTCAGACGGCTTCAAGCTCTTCGGAATATTTATGTGTGAATGTTATCATTCTGATAATTTAATGCAATGAAACTTTGGGCTCGCATTTGGTGATCTGCGTCTAATTCCGTCACTTGACGCTTGTAATGAGTTCTGCCACCCAATGTATGTATTATTCTTTAATTGAATTATGCGCATGTGTTGAAGTACGTATTAAATAACAGATTCTTTCAACTCGTAATTGCCTTAATTTAAAATACAGATATAGGTACGGATATCCATGCCTCAGCGGCATCTTAACTAAGAAGTGGCACAGCACTTTTTCTTGTATAGATTCGACCTTGTATAAATGCTACTCTTAAATTCCCATAGTTTTGTTTTTATGATACTGCGGGTAGGAAAATGATTGCCGTCTTGCCTGAGGTGAAAATTTAAATCGCAAGCGAGTTTCCTCAAAATTTTTTGATGTATCAAGAACAATTTAAGCGGTTATGGTATTTTATGCGCTGCTTTGAGGAGGTGGATGACGGCAGTGAGAATCATGATGAACTTAATAAATCATCCCTATTTTATTCGATCAGTTCTGGTGCTGTACCTGGTCGCGATCACGTTTGCTTCCTCAAGTACAGTTCAGTATTTTATCTGTTCAAATGTCCTCAGTGATTTTGGTTCTCTGTGATCTCATTTTCAATTGAAGCGTTATTGGCTTCGTTTGGTCCCGTACAATTCTCCTATTATTTGTGTATTTTTTCTCGTTTTTAACCAGGGGTCAGATGCTGCCAAAACGGCATTAAATTAACGGTTAAAATAAAAATTTTCTGTTTTAGTAGAATTTTCAAATGTAACACTGATATCTTTTGAGAAAAATATTGCAAGTAATCTTTTTTTCATGCATAAAATATGTCTCATTAAGCCTTGCTGCCTCAAGCTTTGTGTGCCTGTAGCATTTGTGTTTCCAAGATCCTTGATCGTTTGGTGGTGTGATTGTCTAGGGAGAACTCCACTATGTTTCTGCAATGTACCAGCAATGCAATTAGGATTAATGAATACTTATTGCATACTCATAACTGTCACTAATAAGTAATAATTCATCTGATTGATTTTCTGAGAGCCGTACTCAGATGTATCGTAGTTTTCTCTGTGGCCGTATTTGAGGATTAAGAACATGCGTGCTTTTTACTTACGATATTCTCATTAAAATTAATATTGCGTTCTTTGTCTGTGCGTGGATGCAAATCGTACTTTTGATTTATAGTTTAATTTTTCCTTGTGAGTAAATGTAATGCAAATTTTAAATAATCAATTTAGTACAGTGAGTGCTCGTTATTGACGAAGGTACTCATAAAAATAATCAGCGCCAAAGCCCGTAAATAGGAATTGTTCCATCAAGACTCGTACCATCATCTTTCTCGTACCATCAGCTTTTTCAATGGCAAAACACAGCATCTTTTACTTCTTTGATTTATTTGCAAGTCGTTTTAGTAAAATGCTTATGCTTTCAGTTGCCCGTGTTACTATTCAACCAGTCGTTGCATCCTGCTTAGTCGTCCAGTTAATTTACCTAGATCTTATTTCCTATCTAGTATTATTCAGGTATTTAGACACGTCTTATCTTCACAGGTACGTCACGTAATTAATCCTGATAATTTCTAATTGTTCTGATTCTTTGTTCACTTGTTACGCTCCGAAGTTATCAATTCTCGGATATTTCGGCCCCGATACGTCATGTTGCCGACTTAAACGTTAAGATAAGAGGTATTATTTCATCAATCTGTATTCATTTGGTTGTGCCCCCTGTTGTTATAACCCTGTATCTCACAGCAATCTTGTATGTATGATTTACTTCTAATTATTGTATTGCCCTTCAATTTTTTTTTTTTTTTGCTCCAATTCAAGGGTCCATTTTTCCTATTCTCATTTAATAAATGTAGTCTATTTTACTTATGATTGATACCCTCCAAGACTGAACACAAATATGTACCTGTATTCCCTCAGGAGGGACTTTTGACGTGTGTCTGAGGGGATTTCGAGCAATCCCCCCTTGTGGGATTTCGCGCTGCTAGGGGGATTGCTCTTAAGCACCCCCACCGCTGAGCTCGCGGTGTCTGACGGCGTGTCTCAGTTGTGGGGTTAAGTTATTATGTAGGCAGGATTCCTTAGGATGATAGGAAACTATTTCTGGCGTCCAACCTTGATAATAAAAACCGTTGTCCACTACATTTCATTGGAACTACATTGAGCGACTTACATTTTTACAGGAACCAATATAAATATTAAATAAAAAATATGTTCTCGCACCCTCTAAAATAAATTTAAATGTATGCGGTAATAGAGCAAAATCGACCCTAATACCCGTCATCAAGATTCACATGAGTTATTTAAGAGTTTCATGAACGATGCAGTTAGCATGCAAGGCGTCCGGGGCGGGCATCGAACTTCAAAACACCGCTTCAAAGTTTGAAAATGTTTTCTACATGATATTGGAGTCTGCATAGCCGAATACCATAAGTAAGTGAAAAGTAGGTGTATAATGGCTCGTACGTAATTGTTCGTGATGCGCTTGACTGGTGGAAATTCTTGCTTAACCTCACATCGAACAATCCGTTGCTATTTTCTGGGAATCGGTGCATATGTTAGTAGCTGAATTTGAATAACTAAACATTCGAAAGCTGCTAACTGCAATATGTCATCATTTTGCATTAGATTAGAGAAATGTGTTATTGCCGCTCCTAGTCTCAATGGGAGCGCAGCCGTGCACCACCAATTTTGTGCACCAATAAGCCCTGAATCGAACGCCTTGGATCTCTCCGGACCAACACCAATCAGCCGTGCACCACTCGGCTTTGTCCTCTTCCGGCCTTGACCACCACCTGCCGTGCACCACCAATATCGTCCTTCGACAAGTGACCGTTCGACCGAGGGCTGGTTCGACCCACGGCCTAGATACGGACGGCTTGAAGTGTTGAAGGCTTCGTTCCGGAAGGCAGGAATCATGATGGTCCATTACATCCAGGGCAGTGGTGGCCTTCGGCAGGCGACCCGTCTCAATTTAGTTCTCAATAGACGTGATGAGAGAATGAAGTTTGGATCTGCCTCAGATTATTAGTCAGATATGCAAAATTGTATTGATTCTGGAATTGTGTAACTAGAAAACATGAGTTTACATTCTTAACGAACCTGAAAGTTGCTTAATTTTGATTCCATGGATGTTATTTGTCTTTGATATTAATTTGCGGCTTAACATTTATCATTACATAAAACTATTATCCATTTACTGATAAAGTAGTAGTAGTAGTGGAATCACAAGAAGCGGTTATCGCGGCCACACAGAAGCGGTTAGTGGTGGAGTCAGTGTTCATTAGGACAAATGTTGCCTGACGCCGTTTCTTGATTGCACAGATTCCTCGCAACATGTTAGACTCTCAACCCAAAACTCACTGCTTTTATCTTGGCCCAGCAGGGTGCTGTTACCTATCCCACCCTGCAGTGAGAAGGGTGGCCCCCACTCATCCAACATTTTTTAGAAATGTTGTAGCAGCTAAACTAATAAAAATATTGCAAAATTAAAAATAGTGGCATAAAGTTAAACATTTTTACTATCTATGCAGCATAAAGCAAGTTGAGAAATCATACATTTAGCTATTACCTCTAAGACATCCATGAAAAAAAGTGTGAAAAGTGAGATTTTGGAAGAGTAGGTACCTCTGCTAAGGTCTGTAGCAGAAAAAATATTTACCTACACCTACTGAAAAATCTTAACTAGCTACCTACATTAAAGTTGCATGCTGGTGTTGGCATAAAAACATGATTGACAGAATTAGCATACTAGTATCTCATTCCAAGAAAAAATGGTGGCCCTTTCCTCAAAACGGGGTAACAAGGAACCCCCCCCCCCTCCCCCCGGGGCATAGTGGCAAAGCAGAGAGTTTTTTAGACCCTGTCTCAAGTTCATTTTTGAGTCCTATGGCTATAAGTAGGGTAGACGCGGTATATTCCGACACATTAAGGAGTCCAGTGTGGAATTCTGTATAGTTAATATATTCTCATGTTAATATATGAAAACGTATCGAAAAATCAACCCTACCACCGCGTTACACCACCTCACCTTCCACTGCAGTGAAATCATATAAACTGAGCTCATTGGAAACTGCCTGCCGCTCTTCCGAAATCGCGCGTGGTTTGAAATCCAATCCCGTGTTGCCAACGCCGAATCAAGTTAACTAGTCGTTTATCTGTAGGCTAGCGGACACATTTTTGCAATGAATACATTCTAAAATAAAAATAAAACACATCCAGAATCTTAAAAATCTCACGATTGGACAATACCAACAAACTTTTCGATATCACACCAAA